ATCAGGGTTGTCCAACATGTGGCCCCCGAGGCCTCGTTCTGCAGCCCTCTTGCCACTCAAAGCTCCCACTGTTCCGCCCCGGTCCAGATCCCAGTGATGGCACGGGCACGACTGTGGCGATCCAGGACCGGGAAGATAGTGGGTTGGGCCGGTGGCCTCAGGCGAGCTCGCCCCAGCATGCCTTGCACTGCTCAGCTGACGAGTGCAAAGGCGCTGAGGAGCTGAGTGTCTTTGCATTCATCAGCAAGAGTAGGTGGCCCATGCTGTGGGGGGGGGGGGTTCGTTGGCTCAAGTACAAGAGGCTCAGCCAATTCCAAGAGGAAGGAGGGGCTGGAAGGGGTCACATGGGAGGGTTTCTGGGTGGGACAAACGGGGAAGAAAGGGACAGACCACCCCAGAGAAGCAGTTGTTGTGCTTGGGCTGTGGGTGGAGAAGGAGCTGCCTGTGATCTCTGCAGAGTCCTGAACTCACAAAGGAAGTGAGATCTCGTTATGTCAACTTCTCCTTTGTGTCTTCCTCCCTGTTTTCCAGCACACAGATGGTTTTGCTTTTTCAAACACACAGGGAAAAAGCCAACTCTAAGACCTCATATTAGTTTTCTCCCTTGTTTAATGGTTAATTAAATATATTAATTGTGCATATTAAATTAAATAAATATAGTGCTAACACTTTAATACGATATGGAAATGTAATTCATTGTGTGGCCCTAGGTTCCATGTCAAAGTCCTCATGCAGCTTTCAAGGTAGAAAAAGTTGGACCACCCTGGTCTATATATACTGGAAAAACTGTTTTGCTGCTTAAATCATTAAAAAATATGTTTTAAAGTGTGTATATTGAAAACCATACACCATTTTTATTTTATGGCAAATTTTGTATTTTTTATCAATTGTTGTGAACCATCCAGAGAGCTTCAGCTGTTGGGTGACATAGCGATGATGATGATGATGATGCCCCCGCCACCTCTTAGGAGAAGAGAATGTAGGTAAGGGTTCCTTGGTACAACCTGTACTGGGAGAGATCAATTTATTCCAGTGGTACAAGGACCAGTGCAAACAAGTCGAAAAGAAATCAAGCAGCAAAGCTACCGAACCGAGAGTACTCTCATTGATTATTTCTACTGAGGGCATGGCCCAGATCCTGTGATCTTCTCCCAACATAGGCCAGCAGTAGCCTTTGGCAGCAGGACCACTTGTCAGATTTTCTGGATGGGGCAATAAGTCAAGGAAGGGAAGGGACACTCCCACTTCGGGCAAGTGGTTTGGGGGACTCGCCAGGCCATCAGCATTAGCTCTGGGCTCCTGCTGCAGTGATTATCTCCTCCTGGAGATAATCTCTACAACACAGCACTGCAGCCATATGGATGTTTTAAGAGGGCGACACAACCCTCCAGCAATGGCCTACAGTCTGGTTAAGCCATTAGGGAAAAGAGGTAGAAAGTGCTTCCCTTGTTTTGTAATGCAGAGGCCAATTTCTACACCTTACGAGTACTTCTGAGAACAATCCATACATTTACTGTGCTTTAAAAGCCATGATGTTATGCCAGTGGTTGACTTTGGGATGAAGACAAAGCTCCACATCAGGCTGTGCAAAGTAGAGGCATACAATGACCGCCAGACTCAACTTGGATCCCCGTCTGCTGCTTCAGAAAATGGCTCAGTTCTACTCCAACCAGTTGGGAGGCTGCCCACTTTTTGCCTGGATACTGAAAAGCGTTTTCAGCCAAAAGGTTTTTGTAGACTATCATGGGAAATGACAAGCAGCTATAAAGTTTTCCTCCTTGTCAAAATCTGATCATATTCTTAGATATAGTAGCCCCTTAGAAGAGACCTCTCTAGAGAGGTCCGCCTGGTGCCATCATTATATGTTTTTCGGCGCCAGGTCAAGACCTTTTTACTTGGCCAATATTTTAACATATAGTAATTTTAATTGTGTAAGACTTATTTATTTTAAAGAATGCTCAGTGTGGAATAGTTGACTTATCTTATTTTACTGAAGATTGAAACGTTGAAAGCCATCCAGAGACGACAGTAATGGATGGCCTACAATTTTTAAAAATAAATAAAAAAAATAAATAAAATGACGCTTCTGTTTTATACCAAAAGATTTCACAAATCTCTGTATATAACATGTACATCTGTATATTTTGTTAATTTTAAATCAATGCATTTATAAATTGGTCACCATTTGGAGGATTATCCCCACCAAATGTCTGAAAAATAGATGCAGTGGTGTGCTCTCCATGCTTTAATGCATTGCTTTTTTAAAAAAGGAACTGCCAATAATTTTATTACTTCTTGGGAGAATTGGATAAAATTTGCAATGGTACTTGCCCATTCCCAGGGAATTCAGCCTACCAAGGTTTGAGTGAATAGGTATAGGGATTTTCATGGAAGAATACCCTTGAAATCTTGAGGGTATCCCAAAGGAGACAAGCTTATAGGAGACAAGCTTATCTTCCCATGTTCCTTGTGATCCTCTGTTTTGAAAATGATGGAGGTGTTGCAGAGTTTCAGAAGAATACATACAGCAGTTCATGTGAAAGAAGAGTTTGGAAGCGGTGGTGGTGTAAGTGATATTCTTCCTTTTTCTCTGGCTTTTTGGGCAATTTGTATCAAAATGTTATATATGGCAAAGATGTCTTTTAGCAAGAAACCTGCAGAGTTTCAGAAGGAGAATTGCAGGGCATTAAAGCAATTGAACATTTTAAAGGGTTTTTTCATTGTGATGCTGAGCGATATTGGAAGAATAGCCACTTCGCAGTTCCAGTCTTGCCCTTCCCCATAAGCACAGTGATTGGAGCCCCTAGTAAAATATGCCCTAGGATTTGAAGGCAGTGCTGCCAGTCGCTTATCTGCACTCCCTCCCTCCCGCTTCTTTACCTTTCCTCCATTTATCAGCACTTTGGAGAAATAATGAAACCAGAAGACACTGACTGGGTTCAGACAACACAGTAACTCACACTTAGGCCTTGAACATAGGTTGAGCATGAGTTGTTGCTGAAATATGGATTATGTTGTCTAAACCCAGCCACACTAACGCCATCATAGTGAACAACCTACAGTTCATCACCCAGCAATCCATGGGTTGTTCATGGTGAACAAGCCATTATGTCTTAGTACTGTTGGGTTCAGACTAGGGATGTGCAAGGAATCCATCTTGTGTGGAAGATCTGCCAGTTCCCTGGTTTCTGCTTCCTGGACTCCAGTCCACTTTACAGCAGCCCACAGTCCGAGTCCCTGACAAGGTCACCCAGGGCTCACAGGGCGCTCGCCAGGAATCAAGCCCCATGCGCTGCACAAGCAGTGCCATTTTTCCACACCCACTGCTGCCCTTTTTGTGTGCGCACTGTCAGCAAGCAGGGAAAGGAGTTGGCTGCTGGAAATGGTGGCTGGTGAAGGGCCTGTGAGCATTTGCAGTCTCCTTCTTGGCTCAGCTTGGTTTGCAGGACTGGTCCAAGCACCAAAGGAAGTCTCTGGATTCTGGAGGGACAGATTCCAAAAGGGTGCATCTCAACCCTAGTTCAGACACCATGATAATACCCTTGTCAGCCACAAGCCTTGTTCCAATGACACCCCACACTCAGCTCATACTCAACCCTTGAGTATGGGTTGTGTAGTCTGTACCTGGAAGAAAAAGAGGAAGTGGAATATCTGTGTCACAAGCATGAAATGGTAATGAAACCTCCAGCCAAGCTTCGGTAAAGCAAACAGCCAACTTCACACTCCTTGAAACCATCCCAAGGAGTCCAGATCTGTTCAGGCTCTTGGGCTTGGTCAGCATCTGATAAGACATTCCTATCACAAAGATTTTAAAAACTGACACAGTGATCAGCAATATGAGTTGGCAAAAAATTATTAGTTTATTAGTATGTTTATATCCCACATACCTGCCATCATGAAACTCGAAACAGCATACCTGGAGTTCTCAGGTCATCTCCCAACTAGGAACAGATCACTCTAGACCTTCTTAGCTTCAACAAGAGACTGCATTGTGTGCACTCAGTTTATCCTGGAGCCTATTCTAGGTAGGCCTGGAGAACCCAAAGCGACTACATCCAGGGGCTGGATTGCTCCTTACCCATCTTCCATGATTTTTACCAATATTATCAATCAATGTTATCAATAGGATGGCAACATTAGCTATTGGTGTGCCGAAGCCATTTTAAAGGGAACAGAAGTTATATCCTCCATGGCATACCCCACATTTATGAAAACATTTCTCCTCAGAGAGAGTTCAAACAGGAATATTTTCCATAGATGTGTTAGCTCTAATGGCTAGATAGATCATTTTAACTCCAGTGTTTTTAGACACTCTAATTTTGCTTTTAGTCCCAAGATAGAAATCTGGGAAAATTATTTTAATTTAAGTTCTAATCCTAAACAAATTTAACAGGTATAAAACCTCACAAACACAATAAAACTTAACCTCTGCACTGTCTCTGACTTTTGCATTATACACCTGTCAACTCTTACACATAGCTTTTGCTGCCATATATTTGCATATAGGGCCCGTGGGACCTTCTTGCCACAGAACTGGATATGCTTTCCTATTAAGACACACTGTGCTATTGCTGGTAGCAGTGTTATGAAACCTTCAGTACTCAAAATTCCTTAACGTAAGAATACAGATCCAAAACCATAATTACATTTTAGTCAAGAGGGCTTTGGAATAAATTCATGAAATTACGATTTGGATGTCCCATTTACTTCCTGCATCTGCACTTGTAGGCAAATCAATGAAGAACGGTGTGAATGTGTTTCTTCCTTATGTGCTGCTTCTCTTCAAATAGAGTTTGGCTTGCCGTGCGCCTAGCTGCTGGTCTTATGCATGATTATGCTGATGTCACACGTTCTGTTTACAGACCGTGTCACTCTTCCTTGTGTATGAAATTGCTCAACCATCACTTTCAGGCAATGACAGTGCAGGCCCTACCAAGTCATCTTGAGTCAGCTGACAAAAAGGCAGAAACTTGAGCATACCGTGAGATCACTTCCTTGGTTTATCCCTAAGTGATTACAGTGACACTGAGTAGCAGAAGGGTCTCCCAACAGCTTAGCCTCAGCTCACGGAAGGCCACCTTTTAAACACTTTTGAGGTGCGATTTGCATGCAACATTTTTCAAGGAGACAGATGAGTCTCACCAGGGACACTCAAGTTTGCACTGTAAAGTTTTTCCCGAAAGATATATGACCAGGCTCTGTTTTACTGCTTATTAAAAACACGAACAGGTATGTAAACAGCATGTAATTTAATCATTGGGCTAAATATATATATAAAACAATCACATCTTTGTGATTATGATTTCAGCCCTTTCTGGGGCTTGATAGTGGGAGGGTGTTGTTCACCATTCATGTATAACGAGGAGGTTGTGTTGCTCTCGTTTGCTTGATCAGGCGCAATGGCAGCTCGTCTAAACAGCCAGAGCACTGCTTTCAAGCTTGCATTCGTGTCGAAAGAGAGACATCTGCTTTCACATTGCGCTTGAGCTGCTTGACAGGCTAGTAGATTTATACACCATCAGCTGCTTCTATATTAAATGCTAAACACATAGTTAAAATTAGAAATTAACGGCATCAGGTTTCCAAGGGTGGATTCTGCTATACGTCCCACAGACAGGGCAGGCCCCATGGCCTGGGCTTCCCAGCACTAATGGACGGACCCTCTGGCGGGCGCACGGACCAGTGCTGCAGTATGTGGCTCATCCCAAAAATCCACATCCCGCCCCCTCTGCTATCAAAACACCTAATTAGCTTTGATGCATTTCTGGCATATTTTGAGGCACCACTGTTCTCTGCTAAAGAAAAATACCTCCCAGAGAGATAGGGCCTGGTAAAAGACCAAGCAAAAGGGCTACAATTTGCCTTTATGAAAGACAGCCACCATTTTTATATACCTCAGTGTGTGGCATCCCTAGCAAAATACTTTTGACTTTAAAACTAGACTCAGGGTTTCCTGTGAAGGAAAAAATGGAGGAAAGCAGCTGATTCAAGGAGATATGCATGTGTCATTATTCTTTTACAATGACATGAACTATCTGTACCTTTTCAAGGGACGAAATGAAGGGCCAAGTTATAGATCTAGTTTGCTCCCAATTCAATGGGCAGACTTTTCTATTTGCAATCTGAGATTCTTAATTCAAAGCTTTTGCTAATAAGGGGCTTTATTCTGGGCACACTTCATGGCTGGGCACACAGGGAAGCCTGGCACAGGGTTTCAGGCGGCCTTCTTCTCCAGCCCCACGCTTGCCCAGAGTGCACACATACAGCAGAGCACCCCGCTTGAGAGAGGACAGTCTTTTCAGCCCCCCCCCAAAGACCCATCTGGCTGTCATGCTATGCCTCTGAGCCGTGTTCTTCAAATTTCACAAACCCCACATGGAGGTGTAGCATGCCATGTTCTATCAACTTTTAAAAAATGTTTTTCATCTTGTTATTCCCAAATGGCACTGCATGGGAAAGTCCAGTGTCTTTATTTCTCAGTGTGCGTATGTCACATATATCTCATTGCATGTACTGAAAATGTTGTCTATCCATCTTACTGTAACTTCGGAGGCCAGCTCTGTTTATAAGCGCATGGGTCAGACAGGGCTGGTTATGTCTCCATTTAGGGGATTTCAGTTGATGTGTGATTAGTAACTTGGAAAGCATCCCAACTGAAGCACAGTTGGGGACAGCTGAACAAGTGGATTAGAGTGGTTGAGGAAAAACATTTCTTCCAATTTAAGGAGAAATCTGATAAACCATCTTTCCTGAGAGTACGTTTATAGCGGCAAATTCTGCCACAGGGCAGTGGCTGGACATAACTCGTGAAGACAACTTCCACTGAGCCGAGACGGAGGATCGTTTCCCGTGCTCTTGCAGAGGGTCTGCATCTGCAAGGGGCCCTGGATTATAGCCTTAAGACATGATCTCTTGTAGAGTATCCGCACAAGATTCTGGTTGCTGAAAAAGATTTGCTGTATGTTTCAGTGGCCATAAGTCCCTTTGCACTTGGTGGAATGATAACGAGAATTTCTTTCAGGTTCAGCACTTTCCCCAGCCCTGTGAAAAGGCAGATAGTATTACTGCAATGTGCTGGGTACAGTGCCACCCTTGAAGACTTCTTGGAAGCTACAGCAGATGCAGCTCGCTCTAGTTTAGCCAGTGTTTGTTGTTGCAACCGTATTACTAAACGTCTTCCAAAAGAAGTGATATTGGCCTCCTCATTTCTTCTGGATTAGGTTCAAGCTGCTGCAGCATTAGAAAGCCATATATGGCTTGAATCTTAATTCCTGGAAGTCCATGTTCTCAGTGAACTAAGCTAATGGTTAAAAAATGTGGCTGAAATATTTGCAAGGCCTGAAGTTTGATGCATATAGCCAGTGCTTCCAAACAGGCCCTACCAATATGGCATGTAAGACTTTCCAACTTGGAGATAGCGTGGTGCAGGGCAGAAATTTGCAAGATGGAGTACCGGATGGCTCCTAATCCAAGATAATTCAATTGATGGCAATTTGGGAATCAATATAATCCCCAGATATAGGGAAGGTTCATGCGAAAATCAGAACTGCCTTAGAGAGAGCGTTGGTCCATCGTTCTCACTTAGTGCCCTCAACGGAGAATGTTAGCAGCTCTCCCAGACTGCAGACATTGTGGATATGGCAAGGAGTGTAAAGTGTGAACTTCCTCAATGAATAATTCAGTTTCCCCATGCAACAGCAACACACCCTTTTTAGGGTAATACTGTTGCATCTCTTTTACATCAAACTGGTAAAATTGTTATCTGGCAGTATTACCCATCTGTACTGGGAACAAACTGTCCCGCACACTTGTAGAACAGAAACAAAACCATGCAAGTGGTCTCAGCAGCATTAAAATTACAATTGTGTCTATCTGCTCCATCAGGCATACCCTTTCCTAGAATACCCCATTCCACCTCACCTCCATGGTTTCCAGCCTCCTGACTGGGTACGCTCAGTCTTCATCAAACTGTAATTTTGGGTTCCCCCTTAAGGTATGGTGATTTGGGAAGGTTGTTTGTTGTTCTTCATTGAGAGTGTTTCTGCAAACTTTGCAATTCCCTACGCTCCCTGTGGCTTCCTCTGTGTGTATGAATGGTCCTGTTTGGACTTCATAAGGATCAGTACTTGGAGAAGGAGCTTGTCCTTCAGGATTTGGGTCAATGGAGGCCTCCCCCTGATGCAAATAGGGCCTGGAGGAGGGCACCCTCAGGACCATGAAAGGAGTGTTGAATTCCCCACTTCAGCATATGTATCAGTATGAAAGAGGTACAGGATTTGGCCTGGATGGGCTGTACTTCTTGGGAAGCACCAGGAATTGGCCTGCTGCTGGCCTGAGAGAGCACTGCCCGAAAGCCATCAGTGAAAGGCTTCAAATAAGGCAGGGTTTGTCTGGAAGGCGGAGTCTTTGGGTGCAGTCCACCAGCGCTGAACCATGATAGCAGGGTGACTGAATCCTAGACAGAAGAATAACAAACAAGAATAACAACAAGAGTTGACCAAACAAAGAAGCCCCATGAGAGAAAGAAAGGCTGAAAATGGGCTTCGAAACAATCGCAACCCCCGCTGCAACTAATGAAAATTTTAAACACCATGAGCTCATCCATGCAATTGACGTTAGTCCTCATTGGGCCCAAAGCGTTGCAGAAGTGCTGTGATGTTTGTATCAAATGTTGCAGGGCTGTGTGTAGGACAGCGAAGGGGCACCTTGTCCCAGAATAGCAGGCACACTGAATCATGCTCACAATCAGTGCACGCAGTGTTTGCCATGTCCCCTGAAGTGACACATTGACCGCCAATGACGGGCTGGTTCAGATGGGGGAGTCCCCCCTCCAGCAATGCCTCTCTGTTTGGAGATCTGCTGCTTAAGGTGAGGGTTTCCCCAAACTTCTTCAAAAGGGGCAGGGAGGTCCTTTGTGGTTTCAAAGTAATTAGAACAATTCCTTAATCCTGTGAAACTGCTTCCTAGACACCTACAGGCAGAGAACATTTTCAGGATTGTAGCAGACCAAGGGAAACCTGTTTCCGATGCTATGTTGAGCACAGATTTTGTGTGTGTGTGCGTGCACGATTTCTACATCATTTTAAGAACATAGCACTGGAAAATGCCTATGCTTCCGGTAGTAATCAGCAATGAAAACAAACAAGATCCAGGCAGCACAATTAAGGGTATCAGCTAACTGGATCCCAGGAAGCCTCCAGACTCAGAGGATTATGGGCACCCTGCCTTTTGGCCATCTAGCTGCAGCACTTCAGATCTGGGGGGGGGGGGGGGGGGGGGAAACCCTCCAGAATACATGCCCCCTCTTCTCCTCCCCTTTCTACCCTCTTTACTCCTTCTCAGAAGTCACTTGTACGAGAAGCGGGAAACAGAGAGCAGTTCTTCCTGTGTTGGCTGCAAGGAGGGGAAGAGCGGCCCAAGCACAGATTCCAGGCGATGTCGGCCCTCTCTTCTGACCTTGGAATCTGAAGCATCCTGTGATCCTCTGGATGCTGCCTAGGGGCTGGGAATCGCTTGCCTGAAGCTTTAGAAAATAATTTGCGCACACAGAGGGGGCTGTCTTCCTTTTAGCTTAACAGATGCACCCACTAAATAAAACCCCGTTATGGCCCCGTTGGTACAACATAAAAAACCTGAATTAGTTTTTCCGTCATCCATGTTCTCTCCCCCTGAATTTGGCCTGGCTCTGTTTGTCCTGGCGAGATGCATTGACTGGATGTTGACTCTTCTAACCTGATGTGGGCAAACACGCATCAGTGCCCTCTCCTCCCTCTTGCTACCAATGTGAGTGAATCCCCTCCACCTGCAAGGGAATGTGCTGCAGGGCCTCTCCTTACATCCCTGGGGAATGCCCTGCCTCTCCTTACCTGGGCAAAGCTATACAGGGGGAGGACACTGAGCAGCTACTGGCTAAAAAAAAGAAACATCTTCATTTGCCCTTGAGATAAAAGATGGGTGGGGGAGATTAGTGTCATGCCTCAGACTCAGCCCATAGATCCCATATTGTATTAGTCTTGCACTAGCATGAATTTCTGGAAAGGGAAGTTTTACAGGCAGGTGCCTCTGGGCCAAGACCCTCGTCCATCTAATTTCTGATACAAGAGCATAGCTGGCAAAAAGGGGCTTTCCTACATCACGTATTTATTGTGCGCTCACATTTCCTTACTTGTGGTTGTTCACAGGATCTTTAGATGAAGTTGTGTTCCTCCAGTTTGATTTCCTTTTCAAAAGTGTCTCCGGAGTACTTTCCCAGGTTTAGAAGAGGAAAATGAGACATTAAATTACAATGGGGAAGAGGGCGTGCTTTTGCCCAATGTATTTGCAGGATTCTGCAGTGGCACAGCGCTGCATAGAGGTCAAGTAGCAGGAAAGCGGGGAAGGATGAACATTTTGTGTAAAGCTCAGGTCTCAGTGCTGGAACAAAACCAGAAGCTGATACAGTAGAAAAACTAAAGGAAGAGCTTTCTGCTCTTGTTCCTATTTTGCTAATCAATGAGGCCTGGGCTGTTTTGCAGTTTGCAAGAAATGCGCTGCAAACATATGTGGCTCCATAAAGTCATCCAGAGACTTACCTTATGTCTGGGTGCTGGTCTTCATTAGGACTCCCTGTCCTCTCTTTCTCATCTCAATCCTTCCCATTTTTCTCCTCTCAAATATCAAAGAGAGAGTTTCTTCTTTATCTTATTCTTAAAAACATATGGACAGCCCAGTTGGCTAGTTGTGAGTTGGTAGAGCCACGCAGCTCCCAGTTTATCACTTAAGAATCTTAAGTTTCCAATTAAAATCCAGAACAAGAATTATGAGGATGCAAAGCACGTACAGACAGCTAGTGTGCTGAGTGTGGGACTGGGAGCCAGGAGTTCTGGTTTTTAGTCCCTACTTGGCCACGGAAGTATCTGGGTGACTTTGGGCCAGCCACACTCTCAGCCCAAACTACGTCACCAGCCAGTTGTGTGAATAAGATTGAGAGGAGGAGGAGGAGAGTTATGTATACTGCCTTGAGGTCCTTGAAAGAAAAGAAGGCCGGATATAAGTATAATAAATAAATAGTAAACAAAGTGCTTCAAAAGTGCTAACAGGGTGGACAGAACTGCTGTACACCATGCTGAGGATTTGCAGTTGACAGACACAGGCTACCAGTTAAAAAACTGTAAGAAAGCCATGATAAAGATGCCCAAAGAAAAATCAATTCCAAACCACATCCATCATTTCCATTCGGGGTTTCCCCTCTGCTGTTGAATGACTTTCATAGATCTGCAAAAAGCTGAGTGTGTTGCCACTAGGACGCTCCTGAAGAAAAACTTTTGGGGGAAAGTACTTATATTCTTTATTAAGAACAGCCCAGATTATGGGAAACCTCAACCTTCCCAAAATAAAGACACTATTATTTCTGTACTAAGAAAACCCTCCACTTCTGTGTATAGCAACTTCCTATTATCACCAGACTTCCTGCAACATTTGTCCATACAGTCTCAATAGGAACAAACCTTCAGCGAAGCAGCATTTCCGAACAGAATGTGCATCATACAGGGACTGTTAGAAGGCTATGTTTGCAGTTCTCCTACCCTGCAGATTCAGAATTGCCAGTTCCTGACTGTCAAATATAATGAGGATTCTCTTATTCTTAATTGATTAAGAATAAATGGGAGGCAGGTTTTTAGTTAGTGCCTGTGCTGGAAGCAAAAAGTGATTTCTCCACAAACAGGGCAATCGCTTTTTTTTTTTAAAGAAATGTGTTTAATAATTTTCAGCTGGTGCTGTTTTCTGTTTTAAAAAAAGATGGTTCAAATGTCTATTGGAAAAGCTGAAACTAGAGACCTTATGCACTGAATTCTTCAACCATTTAATGCATCTCTGTGCTACATACACAAGACTCTCCCAGACTAGCATTTAACACACATTTGAGGAAATAGGTAGAGTCCATGGGCGCTATCCAATCAGGACCTAACTCAAACAGTGTTCACAAAGCTCTGCTGATTCTTTCTGCGGCACAAGGGTTTGCACCAGCATGATGTGCAACTGGTCTTGTCCAAACAGTCCTTCCCTACACACCTGCCCAAGTCTTACATTCTTCCACTGAGGTCCTTCCCTGGGGACCCACTTTGAAGATCAGAAGAGTAGCTACTCAGAGAAGGGCCTTTTCTGTGGCAGCACCCCAACTCTGGAATCTGCTCCCCATAGGGGCGTGCCTGGTGCCTAGACTTTATTTATTTCAGCGCCAAGCCAAAGTCCATTTTTTACCTGGTATTTTAAGACTGAATGGAATTTAATGGTAGGGTTTTATTATATGTTTTCAGATTGTATTTTAATTGTGCTGTTCTGTTGTAAGCCATCTTGAGATCTGTTGGTATAGACAGGTTATAAATGGTTTAAATAAATAAGTAAACAAGCAAGCAAGCCATCGCTTTAGCTGGCTTCTCCTCTGTGCAGGTGCTTTTCTTTCTTGCTCTTTAAACTCTTATCCTAAGTAAAACGATCAGATAACCAAATTCCTTTTTTGAACTGAAATCTTCATTTTATAGAACTGATTTCCCCATGAAACCCCCTTAGCCACCAGGTGATTTTTTAGAGCTGATATGTTATCAGTATTGAGCTCTACCGGAAAGGCTGAACATGCTCTTAGCATCCTCCCTTTCGAACTGGCGAGTGCTTCCGAATGAGCCGTCTGCAGTGCCACTGCTGTGCCGCATCTACCAAATTTCAGCAGGGGTTCAGCGCCATCTTCCACTCACTGCACCTCCCCACTTTCCCACCACTGCGCCTGCCGCCTTTTCTCTTACCGCAGACAATCTGTTAAAGAGAATCGCTTCACAATGCCCTCCCATTGCTAGTGCTGGGAGCCCTCCATCTGGGAGGATTCTGATATGGACCACGACCAAAAAGCACCTAGAGAGAGAAAGAGAGAGATGAAATGACATGACCACTTCATTCCTAGAATGTGTCTTGCATTGTTAGACACCTGCTCTGATAAGGCTGTTTGCCACACACTGTGTAGAAAACGTCAAATGTGTGCTTTTCCCAAGCCAGCGCATATACCAAATTGGCCACAAATGATGGTAGAGGATGCTGCAGCTCATTTTTAATGGCAGTGCATTGGATGCAATTGCCTTGCATTTGGGATTTTAAAAAAAAATCAAAAGTGAAAGAAACAAGCGAGTAGAGGGGTCAGTTCATATTCATAGAAGTTCATAAAAGTCAGTAACAACGTTCCCATTTAATTCTGCTTTCAAATTAATCATCTCCATTTATCTTTTTCACTTTTGCACTCATTTTTTCATGAATTTGATTTGATAAATTGTGCAAGGTTTTCTTGAAAATGGGTCTTGTGCATACTGAAGAGCCCACCTCTTTCTATATCTATATCTATATCTATATCTATATCTATATCTATATCTATATCTATATATCTATAGATTCCACAGTTTGCAAAATACTACAGGAGCCACTAGTCTTACCAAGTAACACCCACATTCTCTCAAATAAAGCTATCTATTTTTCCTGCCAGATTCTCCTTCTGTAAGCAAATAAACAACCTGATCTCTTTCAGGTAAATCAAAGATTAGGTACATTAGCCTTAAGGCATCTAACAATCCCAGACTTTCTTCTATCATACTACTTCCCCAAAAGTATCCCCTTCTCATAATCATTTGAATCCAGGAATAAGACTCCAAAAAGAACCTCATAAAGCCAAATTTAAGAGCCCAAATCAGATTTTTAAAGCTTGTACCTTCATATAAATGCTCAGCACACAGACAGTCTTCATGATGAAATCCGCAATACTACTACTACTGTGTTTGAAAGAGGTTTGCTGATTTTTTTGCCCTTGATATTAGTGGAAGACTTTACGGATGGACCGTATTTATGCAACAGTGCCAGACACGTCCATGCATTAGAAGGAAGCCTGTCTTACCTCTTTACCCGGAGGTTTCAGATACTCCTTTCCCCACCCCACACCCCACCAGAAAAAATGTTTGTTTCTAAAACAGGTTTAATAAACTGTCTACTTTCCAGATCTCTGGCAAAGTGTTCCACAGAGCCTTCATCATATTTTCCTAACCCTCACTCGACTACATTTGTCCTTGTAGCAGAGATAGCATAATTGTGCAAACATCTGAGCCATTCAGGTAGTCGTCATTATTGTTCGTATCAACAGCATGATCAGTATGTACCTTATAATATTCCTGGTGTTTGGTTGCAAAGGTCCCTCGATCTTCATCTGGCAGAATCTAATTCCGTCATCTTCACTGAGATCTAGAATTACACCGAGTAAAGGTTGCCATTTACGTGGAACACTGAGGTTGCTAAAATGACTCCCTTAGGTATAGTCTGTGGTATTTCTTCTTTCAAGGACACAGTCAGTACAATACAGACGTTTTTGCCAAGGCAAATTAGGCTCTTGCTGGGCAGTTGTATGGAAAGAAGCACCTGTTTTGTTTCTCCGAGTTTGTATGAAATATGCTTGGTACAACTGTATGGATAAGGGTGCATTTACATGAGGTCTTGAGTCAACTGGTGGCAAGCTGATTAAACTTCCGTTGCCTTATTTGTTAATAAGAAATTAATTGCTAAAATTAGCCATTGACAACTGGCTTGAAGCCACACACAGAGAAACCTTGTAAACCTTTTCCAAATGTATGGAGTAGGCTGAGATTTTCCAGTGGGAATGGAAATGCCTTTCTGTACATGCTCAGAGGAATTCATTACAGCTATTTGATCTCTTCCAAGCATACTCACTTTCATCTGGGTCCTACTTCTTTAGCACAATAAGAGACACTAATTTGGCAGTTTAGCTAACTTACATCATTTCTGTGGGAAGCTGCGGTGCCAGCCATGAGCTGTGCTGGGCGGGGGGGGGGGGGGGCTTTTTGTAGGGTATAATGGGATCAAGTAGAATGAAAATTGATGACATGCTTTCCTTCCAGAACTCTAGACCAAAGCCTGTTCATACAGTACCTAGCATGCTTCAAAGCAGCCATTTTATCCTTATAATCCATAACTTACAATGTTTATTTTGGCATTTATTTGCAATGCTTGCATCCCTTGATATGATACGATTTTGTAATATTGTTTTTTATGATTGGTTTATTTTGATCTTGCTCTTTCCATTAGCCATTTTGAACAACATTTCATTTGGCAGAAAGGCAGAGCAGAAATAAAATAAAATTGATTAATCAGTTTTGCCTAGACTCCACACAACCTTTTCTTCAGCACTGGAGAACTTGCTATTTTCACAGACCAAGAGAGAGGATCTAAGAAAAGTATCCTTCTCTTGTGGGAGAACCAGCTTTGCAGCAATTTTACTGCAAAACTACCAAATCAACTGAAAACAGAAAATGGCCCTGTTATAATCCTGCCACAATGAACAGAAAAGGCACTAGGAAGGTAAAAGTAAAATCTGAAACAAGAAAAATAAATAAATCAAGAAAAATAAATGAAAGAATTTGTTCTTTAAGAAATTGTTTATTTTACAAAAGTGCCAAAATGTTCACAGAGTCAGTGTCTTCTTTTTGACATCCAAGCTGGCATTTAGTGAGGCTCTCCTAAATTCATACTTTAGATGCAACTGGACCTTATCCCCAGGTGCCAATGCAGCATCGCTTACCTTCTTTTTAATTACTAAAACACTTCTCTTAGAAGATATTGCTTCACTGAGATTCATAAACCCAATTCAGATTATCTGAGGGTACCTCTATGGCTTGCTCTCTAAGAAAAGTAGCATAAATTTAGAGAGATGACCTGATGAGCTTTGAGTATGCAGACCTCAAATTTTACTCCCTAGAAATGAGTCTAAAACAATTTCTCAGCAACTCAGCTATCCTGATTTCCAAACTAAGCTAGCCTGATTTCATAACTAAGATCCATACTTTCATTTTAGTGTCAGCATTTTTGTAACTTCTATGACTATTATCACTTGTAAGATCCTTTGTCCTTTTCTTTGCTACTGGAGTAGCTACCTTCCTTTCCTCCTATTAAATCTTAGTACTAAAGGGGCTTACACTTTTTTCCAGATCTCAGTCCTAAGGATACTTACCAGGAAGTCAATTCCATTGGATTCAGTGGGAGTTACTTAAGAGTAAGCATACTTAGGATTCTGTCAGTAAGATTTTGTAGTGACTATTTTAGCTAGATACTACCAAACAGTATAATGTCAGAAGCAGCTGAAACAGTAAGAGGTTTGGATAGTTCAAAAGAAATGAACCAAAATATCATAAGATATTGTAAGTCATCCAGAGATGCTCGGTGATTGGATGGGTTAGAAATATCCCAAATAAATAAATAAATAAATAAAATAAGGAAAAGGCGCCCATGGGTCAGTTTTGAAAGGTGATCCATAAATATTATGATTACATATGCAAAGGATTACACTCTTAGAAAAATGTTCAACAATGGCTCGTTATATGTTCAACAATGGCTGGAATAGTAGGTTTTTGTCTAAACATGCATACAAGTACGTCCAAAACATCTTCATCCTTTAAGTACATTTACCCCCATGGTATCAGCACAGAGGCCAGGTAATCCTGGCATGCCTTATGCTCTGGCCTGCCTTAAAAAATAGCAATTCATCTTTTCTCTCTTGCCAGATTTAGTTGATTATATATCTACCAGCATTATTAATTATAGGTTATGTTTTCATTATTTTTGCTTTGTCTGAAAGAGGTCTTCATTCATTATAGCAAATATTCATTCATGCGTCTTGAATGCATGTTCAGATGGTTGTGATAATCTGGTGTTAAGGAACACCTCACGTGGCAGCCAGATGGGAAAGTGAGCTACAGTTCACTACATCCTTCAACTGTAACCTCCCTGTCCTGATGGGGAAGGTCTGAATCAGAAGTAAGTTTGATTGAACATGGTTCAGAGCTCTATACAATTATGCAGCATCCTGCCTTATCATGGCTCCTGATGGCAAGTGATCTATACCTATCTTCACCTGATGGTGGGCATGTCGTGAGCAAAGCCGGCTGGTGCCGGAGGTCAGACTAGATGGCCAGGGAGACCCCTTCTGACTCGCTCTGTTTCTATGTTTCTGATCATGGTTACTTTTCTGATTCAGTCTTCCTCATTTGCAATACTTATAACACCTTAGCATGAACAAATAACTTTCCAGAATGCACAGGTCTATGCAAACCCCACTTGACACACTAGTATACTCATGCATAGAAGATGAGCAGTACTTTTATGAGCATTTTTTCAAAGCAATGCATTTACTCAATATCCCCAAATTCTCTATTTCTATTGTTTGGCAACCAAGAAGCTTCAATGCTGTGACAGCCATCTATCATATTCTTCTAGCTGAAAGGAAGCTCCTCAAAGGAGACTGAGTACTCATCCAGAAACTGCTGTATGTACACACCAATGCAGTTTACGGATCAGTATTGTGTACACTGATTTTCTGTGTCCACTTGCATAGTCTTACAACTGATGCAATCTGTGAGCACACTTTCAGTCTTACAGCTTTTCTACACAAGGCATTTATTGCACACTTATGATTGTTTCTGCATTCTTTAGGTGATTACATGATCCTCCAGATTTGCTGGAGGTTTTTTGTTTGTTTGTTTGCTTAAGAGCAGGGGAAATGGAGTATTATTAATGAAAGTGAAAGGAAACTTCTGTATTTGTTCTATTCTGCTATGCCACAGCTCCACCTGGAGGTTATTTAGTGGAAAAGCACTTGGCAGAGAGCTGGGATCTCAATGCTCAAACAAAATCAAAAGTAGATAAAAGATTGACAGCCTCATCTAGAAAAGCTTTCTCACAGGTTATACAAAGCTTCTTCACCTTTTCTCTTCCAAGTCCCTCTCCTTTTGTTTGCATCTAGTTGACATGTTTTGTGTGTCAATACTAGATGATGAATGCTGGCATCCTGTATCTGGAAAGTAATAGCTATAACGTGAAGCTAACTGAATGGTTAAAAGTTACATCACCGCCCTCAATGAGCAGTGTTATTTCTCAGCAACACCACATCACATGCAAGAGCCTTACACCGTTTACACAAGCTGAATAGGCCTGAGCGAGGCACAGAACTGAATTTAAGGTTGTGACATTTACAGGAGTGACAAGACTTAGTTGGAGGGTCCCAATCCAGTCTTCTGATGATCCCCACATCCCTCTCCTTTTTTCCAACCACTGATCACCTGGTGGTTTCCTGTCTTTTGTGCACCCCCATTCTAAAAAAACCCAAAAGCCCCCCCCCCCACCAAGACTGAGTTACTGTTCATAAAGAGCTTTAAGCTAAAACATGCTGGTAATTTTGGGAATTTTGCTTGTCATTTGCCCATCCATCCACATCCTCCACAACTTCTCTGAAACTGAAATTGACACTTGCTGAAAGATGCTCCCTCCCTTGACACAGAGAATCCACCAACACTTTTTTAAGAGCAGCAGGACAATAAGTTCCATCAGGCATCGTTTAAAGACTGTGGTGAGACAACACAACACAACACAAGCACGAAAAATTTCCACCAGGCAGTTATGTTTCTCTACTGCAGCAAAAGCACAACATATTGTAGCATCATAACAACTAAATTGATTCTGGCACAGGCATCTGTGGACTGGAGCCAACTCCATCAGATGCATGGAATACAGTGGAGAATTATAGGTTTACACAGAATCTCTTGGTTGCGGTCAGGGGGGAACAGGAGGGGAACGGTAAGGTCAGGGAGAACTTAATTGCAGAAAGTGCTGATCACATTATCGGTAAAGACACACACAGTGCACTTACTGCTGGTAGTGACCATCCCAGCACTTGGTACGCCAGTTTCTGAAATATTAGACACTGGAGCCCTCTTCAAGTCAGGAGCTGCTAGCTGTGGTCACATCTAGATATACTTCTGAGCCAGAATTTTCCAGTATTGTCAGTGCTAGAATGAAAGACATTACAAATGTTCACATACAGCACTCACTACTATGCAGAAGAGGCATGTTGCTTTTCCACATCTACCTGTGCCCAAATAGTGCTAAGCTGGGCTCAACACGGTCCCTTCCATGACATGCTGTCCACCTGCCACTTCAGTGTTCACTTCATCTGCTACACTTATTTGTTTTCTTCCAGAAAGAAGATAATTCATTTTTATATTTCCTGTAGGTTTATAAAGAAATCTTGACCAAGCCCTTCCCCGTGAGCACCAGCAAACTGGCTAGACCAGAGGAATGTCACAGTAAGTGCCGAGATTGCTCCATTGTACATAATTGCCTAATGAGATGCCTGTCTCTCCAAATGAGTCACGCTTATTGCCTGTTTGGGTTTATTCCCCACTTAGGACCCAGAGGAAAACTACCAGCTTATCTCTGGCCATTGGTTCTTCAGCCAGTGAAGACTTTAGCAGCAGCAGCAAAAAACATCACAGTTATTCCACTTCGATTCCGCCAGTATCCGTCGACTCTCAAAGAGTAGGTTAAACATTTGCATCTCCTCTTTGCATCAATTTTGTCTTGATGCAAAAAAAATTTGCAAAAAATAAACACACACACACATATTGAGCCAAACGCTGATATTCCAGGTTTGTCTTCATTGGTTTATTCCTCTTCCCATTTAATCCTTGTCCCATTTAAACTGTGTCTGGCTTGAGTTTTGGCATCAATCAGTGGGAGGATTAGGAGCAGTCATGTGGCTACCCTGCAGCTTAGCCATTTGTCATATTCTTCCAAAGACATTTAAGAAAGGACAGTTGGATCAAAGCAGCTACTTAGTATAGAGATGGAGAATTCAAAACATCCAGGGATTTAAATGCCTTTCAAGTGGTTGGGGAGAAGTGTAAGGAAAGATTACATAGGCTTCTTTTTATAAGATTATGCTAAAGCAAAATAGAAGTGTATTTCCAGAAATGCCAATTGATATTGTTGTGCGCTTCATTAAGCACTAGGAAGTTTCAGACAGCCTGTGCACGGACGGGAGAATTTACAGTGTCTCTGCAATATCCATTTACAAATAGACAGGTTGAGGATGGGATGCGGGCAAGCTCCAGACACTGTGAGCAGCACTGGGTGGATCCCCAAAGCAAGGCACCCATGACCTTGGCACCCCCAAGCCTTCCTCCCAGTTCCCACTCAAAGGGTGTGTGGCCTCCAGACACTAGAAACCTTAGAGCAAGATTCTTCTAGGCACCAGTACTCAGTGGGTAAGGCTAAACAAAAGCTTGGCACAGTAGTATTCAAGATACAAAATATTTTACCACTGTTCTGTACCACTACATTCAAACAAAAGTCACTAGTGCTTTCTTCCTGATCACCATAGGTAATACATACTCAAGTACAGTTTTAAACTTTTTACAATATGCTGTTGATCTTATTAGTCACTATGTAGCCTCAAAGGTTTGAATTTAACTTGTAAACGAGATACATTTAATTTCCATAGCATTAGAGAATGGTTTTCCACATAGTGTCACTGATGAGTAAGATTTCAGGAAGTTTTGGGCATTCCACAGACTGCATTCTGCACCAGGAGTTGGCGGCGGGGGGGGGATTGGGCCCTGGAGTGTGCTCACCTGTAGTGCAAATGGACCCCAAATTTAGAACACTTAAGCCCTTTCCTTCAGAGTAGTTGGCACTAAATGGTTTAGCAATTCCACTGTAGATGGTTTTTAAAATGTTCAGCAAAGAATGAAAGTGAATTCTGTTACAAATAATAACTCAAGTAGTCACTTCTGCAAATATTTATATAGCACATTTGGCATATGTAGCTCTTGCAGCATTGATTTCACAGTGATTTATACATTCACTCCCTTTGTTCCCATTTTATAGATGTAAAAGTGAGAGGTTGTGTCTTTGTGATCCTCCTAAATCATCTACAGATTCAGTGGGATTTAAGGGTACAGTACTATACATTTTTAGGCATAAAAATGTCCTGCAGCTCCCAGCATTTCTCAGCCAGCGTGTGACAAAGAACTGTGGCAACTGTAGTACAACGTATTTGGTAGTTGCCATGTTAGGGAAGGCTGACCTAAAATCACCATATACCAGTTGCTGCTATACTATTGCTTTCTTGCAAATCATTTTGTGTACTAACTGAACAGATGTTCCCCCAGAGTACTTGAATTGTGCTTCATCCTAATACAAAGCCCAGATAATGAAATGTTGAAGATTTTCTTTACTCTTGTAACTGGAGAAGAAAAGAGATATGCTGTCAACAAGGTTCTGCATTCAGGATACCATGATGGCGATGTATCTCTTCCTTTAATGTATAGATGCAAAGTCCAACAAACCTCCAGACCGGACTGACCTATGAAGCAGCCCCTGTCTTCACAAAGGTAAGCACATAATCTCCTCATGGGGCCTTGGTTCCAAGGCACAGGGATGGTTAGAGACTCTCCGTCCCATCAACAAACCATGGCTCCTTGTTGGGTTAACTGGGATTTGTTTATCCCATAAAAGACCAAGAGTTTCCAGGTTCACAAACAAACCAGGATTGTTAATGAAAAGAAATGAGCACTCTACTTGCACACTCTGGTCATTCCCACAATTCCTGCGATAAATAACCCAGGAACTGCTGCTGAAACTTCTAAGTCAAGTTAATACGTGTCTGCAGGGAACATGGAGAAATGGGGCCAATATCCCAGACAGAAAACATACAAAAATATAGAGCTACTTGGGGAGCCAAGTCGGATGTGAAACAGGACACTGCTATGCAGAGTGCCATGCCACTTATCACTGGTTAAGTACAGCCAATTCCCACATACCTGGCTGAGCATCCAAGCCAGCATATGAAATGTCTAGGCAGGTTTAATGGCGAGCACCTTGCTTCTTATGAATTAGCTATCACTGGAACAGCACCATCAGTACCCCAAACATGTGTCCCTGTTATTCCTAGGAGAGTCAGATAACAGGGGGCAGGGCCTCAGCACCTCTAATAGCCGAGAGGAAGAGGGACTTTCAGCAGGCACAGCCAGAGTGACCATTTCCTGTCATCTCGTGCATCTGAAAGAGCACAAGCATGAGAACAAAACCCCAACATTATGCCGTGTTTGTTCTGCACTTAAGAAGAGTGATTCTGCTCCTTTGTAAATGTTTGCCTTGTCTGATATACCCCTTCCAGTCATGTTCATCTTTGATATGCCAGAAGAAGGGAAAGGACAAAGCAGAGTGCAGAAAGGGAAATCTTTAGACATCAAGTTAATTCAACAGACCGCCCTTCATCCAACTCTTCTGGGACTAGTTAAAACATTTCTGTCAGATGGTTCAAAAGGATGATATCCTAGAATTTTATTCCTTCAACTTGACTGCCTACATTTGCGAAAGAATCAGCCATTAGACTGTACAGTCACGTTTGCTTTTATCCTAAATAACTCACGCTTTCTAAACTGCATTGATTCCCTATTTCCCTCTCAAAAAGAATGCTCAGCATGAATGTGTAAAACTTGGTTGCACATATCCAAGTTACAATCTGTTTTAATCCTTCAGGGTCTACAAAACATTTTTGCTACCAAAGGCCAGCTAGTGGTTTTTGAATGTCGGATACGAGCATCACCCACTCCTGAAGTACGTTGGTTCAGAGAGTTCAATCAAATAATTGACTCAGCAGACTTCCGAATATTAAGAAAAAGTAGGTACTGTTATTTTTAAAGTTCAGTGTGTGTGAAGTTGGAAGCTACAGAGGTGCCCGTCTGTACAAGGGAAGGAAATGGAAGTCACTTGCCTGCCCCAGTCACTTCTCATAGGAACAAGGAAGGTGAATCAGATCCTTAATTCATCTAGTCCAGCAATGTTAACACTGACTGCCAGTGGCTGTCCAGGGTTTGGGGCAAGAGATTTTCCCAGCCCTACCTTGAGAAGCTAGAGATTTAATTTAGGACCTTCTACCACTTTGCTATCCCCCCCCCCCCCCCCCAATTGTAAGAGTTTGCCCTCTCCTCCTGAGTGCATTGGAGCTCCATAAAGATGCCTGAGTAGTTTTCCCTTTGATGACCCTCCAGCATCCTCCAGGCGATTCAGCAGATGAAGGTGGCATGTTAAAGGGGTTGCTGAGTCTCATTGGCCAGTTTGGTATCTTTCATTCTAAGGACTGGTTCAGATAGTTGCTCTGGTGGGGGAGGAATAGGCTTGTAGTCCTAGTCACAAAACATGTGACACAATGGTACTTGGAACAACCCCACATATGCAATTCCTCCTCCCAAAGGGGGAAAAGGTTCAGACCAGGCATTTGTACATACAGGTCCCGCTCTATGGATGCATGGGGAGGAGAGCCATGTCCCTGCTCTTCCCCTACCACAAAACTGCCAGTACCTAGGTCAGTGTCCGAACTGGAGCACAACCAGGTCTTGTGCTCCCTGATGCTGGTATAATCCTGGCTTAAGTCCCCGATCCTGCCCATTGAGGGTTGTGACGCTAAAGCACGTGCCAAAAAGATGGCATGCAGCAGACTCACCTGGCCTGGTGCCCTCCAGATGTTTAGAACGATAGCTGCCAGGATCCCCGGCCACTGAACATGCTATGGAGGGGTACTGCTCACTGGAGTGCAAACATCTGGAGAACACAAGATTTGGGAAGACTGGCAGAAGCGTTTTCTCTGACTATTGCTCTAAAGGATCTTGCTGTTCTCATGGTTTCATTTCCTTTTCCCCCAAATTATATTGCCTTCAGCCAGCATTCCAGTTCCCATGAAACCCTCCTCACCCTTGAACTCCATGGATTTTCACTCCTAAACATTTATTTACATATGTAGACTAGGCTATAACTATGATAAGCCTTGGCATGGAATTTGGAGTAAACTTCTGCAAACATACCACCACATTTTGTTTTTAATTTTGTTTTTCTGCACATCTACAGAATGAGCAGCTTTTCTGAAGGTCTGAATCAGCTCTGTTACCCCAGTTTGTCTTTTATCACACCTATATAATTCTGCATGAGCTGACAAAAAAATGGGAACCCAGTCAAACATTCACAAAACTGGCCCAGACATTTTAGTTTTGCTGATTTTTCACCATGTTTAATTGGAAATATATTCCACTCAATTCAATGGGGCTTAATTTTCCTTAGACATATATTTGCTCCCAGAACAGGATGCCTTGTAAAACTTTAGGGCTGCTTTCAAATAAAGCATCTTTGGGTACTTGCAAGATGTTCGTATGTATTTGCTATCAAAAGACTAATCAGAGAACCCATTTCAATGTCAGTATCAAATGCCTTTGAAATTGTGTTGTCATTTTTTGCCAGCCCTAATAGTAGCAGCTAGATTTTAACATGGCAAGCAACCAATTGCTTGACAATACAAACTTGAAAGTTTAATTGCACTTTGTTCAACAAGTGGATTATTAATGATTAATCCCTAATGCTACAATCCCATACCGGGCTAGGCCTTTTATATCCCATTAAAATCAACAGGGATTTAAGCAGCCCAAGTCTGAGCTGCTAAGTTTATTTTGAAATTCCCCACTCTAATTAGGCTCAAACCACCACCCTCTGCTTCTTCCTCTCATTACATGAAGAACTAGGCATAGCCAAACTCTTAGGTCCTGGGTTCTTCCTACCAATCTGGGCTCCAAATGCTTCCAGGCCGCTTCTGATGAGGTTCTGACTGTGACCTATTGTTGCTACTGCCATGCTGGGGCTGGGCCGGACACTCATGCATCTTCATCATAAGATCTAGAAAAAGAACATGATTTTGCTGTATTTTGCATTTTCCCACTCCTTGCAAATACGTGTCAATGAATCAAAGCAGGAATATGCAGAATACAGTGCTTAATGAAATAATGAAATGTTGCGCTTTCCCGGAGGAAGCTTTTATTGTGTATTCATCCTACCTCAATCATGGTTGTTTGCAGATGCTTTAGATGTCATCAACATCCAGTTTCACTTCCAGATTTTAAAGACAATTTCACAAGGTCCTTTTGAAGTGGAGAAAATCCAGTATTACTTATGAAAGGAATACAAAGCCCTTGTCTCCACTGGTGTAGTTGTGTTATTCTGTAGGGATGGATGCATTCACGCCCTGCTTGTAAGTTTCCCATTAGATAGTTCTTTGGACTGATCCAGCATGGTTATTCTTATACTCGTATGTTCAATGATATTCGCATATATTCTGGAAGATGGACTGATCTGAATTCCCCGTCTATTGGATCAGCAGGTGAGCTCAACGATCCTATCATTCCTCTGTGTGTTGGGGTTTCCACTGCACACTGCCAGAAACTGGCCATCCATTCACATAATGCATCTTGTGGTCTCACAGGGGCTTCAGGCCCATCATCTGGGCAGTAGTGAATTATCCTCCATTTAGGATCAACTACTCATTACCCACAGCTATGTGTACTTTTTTGGCTCCACTGAATTGGATGCTATTTCTGGTTAACAAAAAAGCGAAGGTAAGAGAGAAGATAAAAACACTGTGTGTAATGTGTAGCATGCTATCCATTCTTTCAAGACATCACAGATGGTGAAACAGGATAGCCAGATGTAAAGGAGGACAAAGCTCGAGCCACTTCTGTTTGCTTAGTAATAGTCAAGAAACTAGTACAATTAAACAGCTCTCTCTCTCCTCCTTCTCTCTGCAGAGGCTTGCTCATCCTTGGTCCCTGGTAAGTAATTTTAAGTAAGCAGGCAAGCAGTATAGAACTAGGCACAGGAAGCCATTAGAGTTAGTAGAGTAAATGTTCAGTCTAACCTGCATTAAGACACATCCAGGTAGTATAGCAGTGCACAGACTGGCACCTTGCCAATAATGTTCAGCAACTTACATGTATATGTTGAATGGGAAATTAATCATCCCATGTGAAGGTGCAAAACAAGGAATAAAGTCACCAAGCAGTTGGGGTCTTATAGAAGAGTTACAGTTGAGTGAGTTCTATCACGCTATTCCAATCCTGTGGAGGTTTACGTGGATGTCAGCCCCATCCGTTCGAATGAGCTCACTCTTATAAGTGTGTGCACATGGTACTAAAATGGCATTTGCAAATAATCCAGTGTCATGGGTTTTCAGAAGTTTGAAGACAGACTGTTCTGTATACTTCACCTCAGAGTTCAAACCAATCTTCAAATTTGAGTGGGATTAATGATTACAAAGGAATTTTACTGCTTTAAAATGAAATATTTCATGCTACGAAGTTTTGAAGTTTGATTAGACACCCTGACCATCAACTTCATTTTGCTGAATTTGAACAGTTGCCACAGCAAATTGGATTTTTGTAAATTGCCCTGGAAAACATTATGGCAGAAAGGTGGTCTATTAAATCTGATAAATACACTCACAGGAGAATCAGGTTAAAACTGTCACATTCACTTACACTGGGCTGGATCCAACTTTGATTCCACCAGCAGGAGAGGACTTCCTCTTAGAGCTGTCCTACTGGTTGAAGGGGAGGTGAACTTATCAGATTCCACATTCCTTCAGACATTAGCATCACCTCTTCTGCAGTTCCAGGGTGTCCCCCAACCCTTGACAGTGGATTTTCAGGGGACAGAGGGCAGTGTGGGTTGGGGGGAATCAACAAAGATGGGTCCTCCTCTCCTCCTGCCAGCAGGACTTCTCTGCTGGATCAGAAGCCTCTTCTGGAGGCTTTCTTCCATGGAAGGCTTCTGCTAAATTCAACTCACTGAAAAAGGGGTGCACAGAAAGAATAAAGCCCCACACCAGTGTTCTTAATAGCTTTACTCCAGGAGTGCACAAACTATTCAGCTGTGACCCCGTGATGTTCTTCCTGGGTTTGGGAGGTGCATACCTGCTTAGGTGTATACCCTAATGATCCTGGACCATGGAGAAAGATCAGTCTATGTCAGAACTGATGAGGGGAAGACCTAGAGTAGTTTTAAAAATGCATTCTAATTCTGTGGAAAATTAGGGAAACTCCTACTGATGTCATGGGCAGGGCGATGGTAGGACAATCTACCTGCAAACTTCTTAAGTGCCAGTCATTCAGTTATATTCTCCTTTCAGAGGAAGTTTGCACCTTGGTGATTACAGAAGCTTTTCCTGAAGATTCTGGAACGTTTAAATGCATTGCTGCAAATGAGTTTGGAGCAGTGGTATCCAGTGCCTCCCTTTTGGTTACCCAAGGTAATGCAGATTCTTCTCTTTCATCACTTCCCCATTCTGGAGAGCAAGGATGCGGTCCTATTAATTGTGCCCTGATGTTCATAAGCCCCTGGATCCAGTGCAGACCAGAAGTGTGGAGGCAACCTCTTCCTCTTTGTTCGTCCCGCTCTACATTTCCACTAGACAGGCATTTTTGCACCTCTAGCCGCAGTCCATCTCAAAGGAGGTGGGACCAAGGCTGCAGTGGGTCCAGGATAACTTGGAATGCCCCCTTTACCCCTTCTCCACAGCCCATATCCTGATGTCAGAGAAGCACCCAGCAAGTTTCTTTCCATGCTGGCTGAGAGAAATGGAGAAAGATCAGAGTGTGGAATTCCAACACCAAGGCTTTGTCTCCAACCCCAGATCAGGGAATCCAAATTATCCTGTAGTCTCCCAGATGATGTCAGCAGAACAATGGATCTCTAAGCTGTTTCAGCTTATTTTTTGAAGCCTAGTTTAAGTTTGGAAAATAAGAGTCCTGTTCTGTGTTGCACATCGAATGCACAGCAGAGCACTGGATCAGACAAGTATAATGGGAGCACTGAAAAAGATTGTGTTAAGTAAATTCTACAAAGTTTTGGATACTCAATTTACTTGGGTTTGAAGGCACCCTCTGAAAGTTGCGACCAGGACAGGGCATTGGGGTGGGAGACCAGGGCTCCACTCAGCAGAATGAATTGGAGGGTGTGAAAATGGAGCAGGACTGGCTTACCACCAAGGCAGAGCACGTTAACATTTTACGTCCCCAGACCTATTAAGTCCACCAAGTGCAGAATCTAACGTAACTTATCTACACCAGTTGAGTGTTGGTGCTCAGAGACTCAGCAGAGGGTTCTTGATGCTGTTACGTCACACACCTTAAGCAAACCTCACATTGCTCAATGCTTTGATGGAAAGCTAAGAGGTTCACACAAGCTGTTTTGTTTCCAAAGAAAAATAAGTATAATTCATTTTTATTATACAAGTGTAATTAATTAAGAGGCATAGACATCAGGTTTCAGATTTGTGGAATACCTAGCCATTTTGAAGATTTGAGTCAAATCTAGGTTAAGTACTATTTCAAAAACAGTGCAGGGGTTTTTTTAATGTTAAAAAAATCCTAAAATAAACCTTTGAAGAAATGAAGGCCTGATTTTATTGCTCCATTATTGTACTGGATTCCACAGGGATCCTTGGCTCCTGTGTCTTAAAATTTTAAAGTGTCAATTTCTAAACAGTTGTACAACAATTTTGCTTTTTTTTACTTCTTTTTTACTGTTGCTTTTTACTGCTGAGTTTCACCTAAACAAAACAAAAAAAAGCTTTTCATCAGGAGAATGAAGAAATTTCACTATGTTGAGTAAAGAGATTGCCAGTTTAGAGAAAGTTCCCATATGGCTTTTTGAAATCAGCTTCCAAATCCAAACAGGTTAATGATATATGGCGTTGAGTCACTACTCTGGTTTTATTTCTTCTTATGCCACCGTCTGTGCTTTTCAGGAACAGAAGAGACCGAAGGTTTTAATGCGGCTCCCTGGCTGTCAGATACGACAACCACAATGAACATCAGCTCTGCACCTAACAACCCATATGTGGTCCTGGGAAAAGATGAAGGATACGAACCTTCCAGTGTTATGCCACAAAATCCCTCTGACTTTGCAACTCAAGTGGCGCATGACAGCTCCTGGCCACAGACTTACGGTGATGAAAGTGAGAATTTTCATGGCATGTATGAAAAACCTTCAGATAATTCATTTCACTGGTAAGTCAGAGAAAAGATCTCATTCTCTTCAATCTAGTTACAACTGCTTTTGCTAGAAATGGCTTTTGCAAACAGTATCTAACAACAAAACGAAAAGCATTCTGCCTTGTATGACGTGTGGATTTTGAAAGTCCTGTTCCTTGCTGCTCTGTCTGCAGGCTGTATGTATGTTAAATTGACCTGGAAGTCTTGCAATGCTACTGCACAAGATGCTTTGTGCTACCGCCTCTCAATTTAGACCAGCTGGCCACAAAAGACAGGTGGATTGTCGATTATGGGCCTTCAACACAATTGTAGGACACAAGGCAGCCACTGCAGTAAGGTCTGCCACAAATGTGCTTGACTGGACACAGATTTGCCCAAAGTCGTATTATTCAAGTAATTCCTCATTGCTGAAATAATATTTACATTATTTACATAATAATGTTAATGTAATTGTAATAGTTACAAACAGCTCTATGCATGTTTACTCAGAAGTAGGTCTCACTGAATGCTGTGGGACTTTCTCTTAGGTAAATCGCAATAGGATTGCAGCCACTTAGTCAACAAGATTGACTGTGCAATTGTTAAGGAGCAAACCAAAAACACAACAGGGAAACTATTCTTTACTAAACCTAAACCAATTCCTGAATCCTTGCCAAGGTTGCTAAATACTTAATCCTGCATTATAACAGTGCATTTGTACTAAGCACCATCAACTTTCTGTGATGAAAAGCAACATGTAGCTGAGTGGAGTTGATTATGCTATTTCTGGATTTGGTAATCAACATTCTAAACAAAATTAGCTGTTTTGAACACACTGCTATAAACAAGCTGTAAGAGGGCTAGATTTTAATTTGGCCGTTCTTTGATTAGACCTCTACAAAGTAATTTTAATAACAGAGCTCTCTGCAAAATGATTCAGCCCCCTAGGAAAACTTCAACTTCTTCCCACAGTTTGGAAGTAAGGGATGTTTTATTTTAATACTCAAACCGATTGCTGCTTTCATCAAACCTTTAAATATTAAACAATTACAATTGGATGTTGTCAAAATCCTACAGAAGAGGGTGTGTCTCTGTCCAGTGTAGTGTCTTTAAGTATATAAGCTCATCAGTTTAAACCTATAAGTACTTTTCTCAGTACTGGAGCACCCACTGACACCTTTCTAGGAGTAATAGCAATATGGGAGGTGGGGGAGCAATTTGGGCAGTACTGTGGGTTGTGGAGGGATTTGAATTGGAAAGTTTTCCAGTGATTTATTTTCAGTTTGCATCAGAAAATGTTCTAGAGCAGGGTGGACAACTTTTGGCCTCCAGATGTTTTGGTCTACAAGTCCCATTGTTCACTGGCCAAAGCTGATGGGACCTGTAGGCCAAAATGTCTGGCGGGCTACAAGTTGGCTTCACCTGCCTTAGAAAGACCTAATCTAGTGTGTTTATTTTATTTAGTAAACCTCAAGGCTTTTGAAAAGTATCCCATGGTTTTGTTGGTGGTGATGGTCCCAATGCCACGCAAGTATGTAACCTACAGTGAGTTTAGACAGGAAAAAGAAACCTCACTGGATTTTGGTTGGGATCGTGGTAGGGGAGGGTGCTCCTACCTATGGCCGGTTGTTCCACTGAAATGTGTGTCTATGCAGGAGAAGACATGCCTATTACTAATATCTGGCATACTTGCTAATGATACATTTAGTATCAAGTCTACTTTGCAAGTCCCACTCTCTGTATTATTGTAACTTCTAACACAGGGTGACCAAAAGGCCAAAATGGGCAAAAGATGACACAGATTTCCAAGCAAATTTAGAAACTATAATTTATAATTTTAAACAGCAATGCAGTATATCTTGCCATAGCAGGAAGGGCTCTGAACAGGTGATACATGTACCTGCTCAATCTGCAATCCAGGCGCTAAATGTTGATGGATCTGACATGGCCTTAATCTCCTTTCTTGCATTTCTTCATCTTCACTCTTGGCTTAGACAGCCCTTCCTTTAGGGTACATTTTAAATTGGAGGACTGTCCACTGTACAGCAGGACACATGGCCACACTATTTCCAGGATCTCTGAAAGTACCAACAGGCTTGCCATGAGGTCACTTTCTTAAGGACAGATTTTGAAACCATTTCTTTATTCTGCCTTGAGCATCAAGATGTTTCAAGCCAGCCCTGTTCTGGTGTTCTATATTGTCCTACACTTTGAAAATGTTTTAAAGTGTGTGCTTTGGGGTTTTTTAATAAATACTGGACATTTATATTCTGGATACATACAGTGGGTAAATGATGACACACAAAAAGGCAAAGCTACACAACAGCCGATAGCTTTGCCTTTTAATGTCTCCTCATTTACCCACTGTATGTATCCAGAATACTATTACCATCTTGGACTCCCTTCACTATCCAAAATGTTGGCTATATCTTTCAGAAACTCCCTTGACACAGTGCAAATCAAACACCCCCAGCTCTGGGCAAGTTTCACATGCTTTTCCCCACATTGCAGGGACGTAGGTGCAGCTACCCAAAAATACAGCATCTATTTGTAGTGATCAAACCACACTGAATCTAAAGAGATTTTGCCTTAATAACAGGCTTGCTTGTTTCAAAGAAAAGACCTTATCCAGTCTAATTTAAATGCCCTTTTGATCCAATTGGGCAAGTCAAGAACAGACAAAACAACGTGGGATTAATTATTTCCTTTTCTCCCCAGTTCCGGTGCTGAAATTGGATTACATGGGGGTATGTCAGTAACTGTATGCATGGATGAAAATAGCATACTGCTATCTCCTGTGTTTGGAATTTGTTCCCAAAGGTGATGTCAGTTCCAGCATTACATTTTGCATCCCTGGAATACATACGCATGAAATCATTGCAGCAGAATTAGTCATTGCTGCAACTAGTTTAAAAGATGATTCCATGAACTGACTAGAACTGGAATCTAGAATCCAGTCTGGATCAGACTGCCTTTGAACAATAAATGACATTTGCTCGTATGTACTACAGAATAATTCCAAAATCCCTCTCTTCAATGCAAAATGCTACACTGGAACAAAATAGAAACAAATGGACAAGATTTTATAGACAGACCGCTGTGCAGATTTAGAATGTCCTTCGGAAAAAGCTGAACCCAAGCAAGCCACTTGATGTTGTTATCAGCTTTAGCCCTGTGTGGAAATGGGCCCAGTGTGTTCAATGAGATGTACGCCAAGCAAGTGTGCGCATGATATGGGGCTCATGCACATCTCGCTCTTGCTTTCGTTCCAAAAACTTGGCAAAGTTGCTCAGTGCTTTATAATATACTGTCAATAAATGTTACTATAAACATGCAGCTGGCAACAGCACATCATGTGGAGGTTTACGTTGAATTATACACCCTGCGTAAACTACAACTGTGCTTATATTATTCAGCCCCCAGGTTATTTTATGCTCTTACTTATATACTCCTAAAGGCATAATCCTATGCATGTTCAGACAGGAAAAAATGCTAGCATTCCCAGCACGCCCCAGCCAACACCCCTAAAGGGAAATTAAGATAAACAAGTGGAACCTGTTGGAAAGTGAAGTTCTGCTATTTAGGGTTCCCTGTTCTGCTGTTAGGGTTGCCTAATGCTTCTCTCAATATACTGCACCCTCTGAGCATGCTCAGTCCTCTTCAGCCTATTTTGTTTTTTTCCCATCCAAACCCAAAATAACCAAAATGGAGAAAGAAAAGCCCAAAATGTTTTTGGGATACAATGAGGTGAATGCACATGCCTAACCATGGCCACACTAACATCTTGAATTTCTTTATTGATGGTTATGAACATTAATCTTCCATTACTTGGGACATTTTAAAATTGCTTCTCAGAATGAAGCAGCAAATGATCTTTCTAGACAAAGTTTTTTCTACTGTTTTTATATAGGTCTGCAATTCCTCCTCTAACCTGGTTGTGAGGTTTTCTGATTCAAATGTGAAACCTTTGGGAGTTGTACCTGATGGCCTTCTGGCCCCTTCCAACTCTTCTGTTCTAGGATTCTGTAAACCTGGTATGACCAAAAATGACGATGTAACTTTTTGAATAGCTCTTTTGCACTCTCCTGTTCTATGGAGAAGGATCTAGAAAAGCCTTTTCCAAGTCTGCGTCCCCACTCCAACTTCTATCATTCCTGACCACTGACCATGCTGTCTGAGGAAGATTTTCGGAGTTACAGTCCAACTCTGGGAACTCACAATTGGGAAAAGCTGGTCAAATCCAGAAGGCAGCGTTGAGAAACTGCCCTTTCTCCGTGTCTCATGCATCCTGTATCATTTGTTCTTTGATACCTACATAAAACTCAGGAGAGGCTGTCTGTTGATTTAAGCCCAAAATAACTTCAAATACACCAGAGGTACAAAATATTGCTTTAGGTGCTCAGGGAGTAGCAGCATTCAAGAGCTTATTTTGGCAGCTTTGGCCAGTGCACCGGCTGTGTGTGTAGCTGACGAACAAGTCCAGGCCACAGTAGTTCAAGCTGCAGTTGCATCCAGATTATTGTTACAAGGCTCAGATGGGCCAGCCTGAAAAGTGCTTGGAAGCTTCATCCGGTTCCGAAAGCAGCAACCAGACTGGAGTGAGGCGGAAAGCAACCAGAAACGAGGGAAGTCGATCACCCCACTCTTTCCAGCAACACAGATGGCCAGTTTGCCCACAGTGTGTCCTAGCCAGCACTGTCTTTTCTACCCCAGGTTAAGACTTCTTTCTCCAAGGCTTTTAAAGAATTTTAGTAGCTTTAGGGATCAATCCTACAGCCCTGTTTTCAGGGAGTCCTACAATCCCCTACATGGCCCAGCCATAAACGATCCTGGCAAGGTCACACAGCAAGTTGTGTTGTAGGACTTTTTGGGGAGGGGAGTTGATAATAAAAAATAATAATAATGTATTATATTTGCACCCTAAGACAAATAACAGACAAGTCTCAGCATTCCCCAAGCAGCATGACTGACTGGAAAATGCTAGAAGTTGTAGGGCTTTCTTTTCTGATTTAAATATGCAATTTATGCAATTTAAAGATTTTCTCCTTGGGTGTTTAAGAGCCATGATTTTTAGTCCCTGCAGTGCACTTTTAAGTCTTATACATTTGGCTGGTTTTAGTTTTTGTGTCCATATTGTGTTGGTGTGTGTATTGGTTATTTAATATGTTACCATTTTAAACTTCATTATTCTCCAAATCCACATTGCTGCAGCCAAAAGATCACCAAAAGTGTGCACCATTTTGAAATCCCAGATCTTATAATCAGGCAAGAAGTTACAAAAGGCATGAGGGGGATAAACTCATATTCTCTGCAACTTCAAACTAGGCCAGAGATGTCCTGTGGGAGCCTGCAAGTATGCAACATAGTTTGACCTTGCAGGCATTTACTGTTCCTCTGGCCACTTTTTATTTCCCTCCCAAACCACCTGCTTGCAACCTGCTTTTAGCTTGTGCAAGTTTTTGGATGATCTTTTGGTTAGCCTTATAAAAGTACTATAGCAACATGGATTTGGGGAAATTTCTGTCTGGACATCACAGCTATGTTTGCTTTTAAAAACTATATTAGTTTAATAGTTTAAATTATGCCATGCCTATAAAAATTACTTTGTAAGACATTTAAAACATTACACAACAAGACCTCAGGTTAAGTGGGCTAAACTAAGTAGTAAGATTTTGGTGGCAGATCTTGGAAATAATGAAGAACTGGGTCGCTGTGGTGTGAGGCAAATTCCAGCCAAAATGACCGGAGAATTGAAGGGGCAGTATTAATCTCATTTTTTCATGCCTAGACTTGATGACTAGGTGATTCAAGAGGGGAGACCTCCAAAATCTTTCTTCAGGCGGTTTTCTTTTTTCTAGCCAAGTATTGGGACAACCATTCAGTTGAAAAGTTTGCACAGGCTCTCTTTAAGAGAGGAAGGGCAAAAGGGTGCTTGAATAGAAGGAGCGCCAGCAGGACTAGGTTGAAAGTACTGAAATCTGATCGTGTGCTACCCAATCGTCGCTTGCCGCTGCTTCACAATCAAAGTTCCCTCGACGGAGGGAGCCTCTATGCAAGGTTTCATTTCAAAGAGAACCACAGAAGGGAGCATCCGAGGCACGACTACCTGTTTTGCATCTTTTGACAGCGCTTTCCTGCACGCTTACTCAGACCTAAGTCCCACGGTGTTCAAAGAGTCTTGGTCCCAAGTAGGGATTGCAGCCTAAACCACTTTCTTTTCCCCTTTTTCTTTCGTGCACATTTTGCAATAAACAGGCGCTATTACTTTTGCATTTTAAATCCTAGCCGAATCACAAGCCCAGCTTCGACTACTGTAGTCGTACTTTGGCTCAGAAATGTATTCCAAAGTCCCCAGCATGCATCACTATAACCTAAATCTTAGGCATGTTTCCTCGGAAGCGTCCTATGGGACTTACTAACCGTCCGAAGAGCCTGTGCAAAAGCAGGTGCGCAGCATCTGCCCCGACCAGGCTGCAAGATCTGGGGACGCAGGAACGTAATTCCACTGCGGGTAGGTCGAGGCTAGTCCCGGCTCGCAGGGCTGTTGCTCAGCATTGCAGTCCTGCTGAAGGTTGGTGGGAGTGTTTCTTAGGAGACTCCGTGAAATAGCCGGCACCGTTGCATCGACTGTTGGGTGGAAAGTTCCGCACCGATTAAGGATGAGGATTTGGCACGGAACTTTTTCAGCTCTCCCATCAAACCAGCAGTTCCTGTACTTTCTTGTTTGGGTCGCCCCTCCCCCATCAAAAAGACCCGTTCGCACGGATATCACTAGCTAACTTTGTTCCTTGTAAGAAGTTTCGATTATGCTGCTGTTTCCCCCGTCCGGTATCCCTGCTGACACAGGCGCTCGGCCAATAAACTTGCAGCGCAGATTGCAAGCCTACTCGCGAGTAGCCCCACTAACTTGCTAAGATCTCCTCTCGAATATAGAGATGCACAATAGTGGGTTACGCAACCGAAGTGGCAATCCCGGATCCTTTTACTTGGGAGTAAATCCCAATTAACTCAGTGGGACTTTCTCCCGAGTAGGCATGTTCGGGATGGCGCTTTAGCAAGGCGGCGTTCTCTCCGTTTGTTTCACGTAGGTGATAGTGGTGCTCAGGCAGGACCGGGACTTTTATTTTGATACTCTAGCCTGGGTAGGTGGACAAGCGACTACACCAGATGTCATTATTTGGCAGCGGATAAAAGTCCCCGGTCATATTAATACTAAGCAGAGAGCTATGTTTGTAGTCTGTGTTAGTGAATGGCTAGCTTTCCCCCCCAACAGGTGATACCTTGCTTTGCTTATAGGTAAGATCCCTCTTTGTTTTTTCCCTTACTTCTTGTTTCACCTATAGTGCGGTTCACTGGTCTGCATCTGTAGTAAAGAGTATAAACCGGGCATTCTTTTGTAGCAATTCTTAGCGCTTTAGGGGATTGTTCAGTCGGTCCTTTTCAGCGTACCAGAAAAGCATTCTGATTCTGTAGCGCGCAGGTGTGTTAACTTGTACCCCGAGCGTATTTTACTACAGAAGGTTAAGACGGCGGGGTTAGTACTGGGATGCAAGGTGCACTGAAATCCTGGCTTTTAAAACGAGTTGCAGAGGAAACGTTCGGTTTTAATGTATATCTGTCCTCTTCGACACTCCTTAGCAGCATATGCATCTTTGGCAGGCCAATTAGATTGGGATCGCACTTCTTGATTCAGCCTTTGTGGGGGCCGAGAGACTTTTCCAACTTTTATGAGTGTGTTGGTGGTGGCGTTTTGTTTTAGAGAGGAGAGGTGATGTTAACTGAAGGGATGTTCCTCATGTTCTTCGTGCCAGTTTTTAGGTGATTCAAAGATCTTACTTTAGTTTCACTGTATGGGAATGCAGGCGGGTGGTGGAATAGGTGAATTCTGTTTTGTGGTGTTACTCTTTGGAGCACCTTATGTGCGACATGTCACAATTGTCCAAAGAAACGAAACTTTAAATTTCACTCCCTCCCCCTAATTTCTGTTACTATCTGGAAGGGTATGACCTCATGGAACCTACTTTAGCTTCTTCTGTGAAAGGAAGGCTGCACCTCACTTGGCAAAACAGCTGATCTGGAACCCTGCTGAGGAAAGCAGCTGGTGGAGGAGATTTTAAGCAGGGGAAGTTGCTGATAGAGCAAAACTCAAGCATCCCTTTTCATCTCCACTCTGCTGCTCAGCTTTGCCCCATCTTGGGGTATATAAACTCATGACCTGTAGAGTTTACTGGACTGTTGAAATCTTTCAAACACACAGGACAGAGTTTAATGTCATTCACCTTCAGGATGTTTGCTCCACTTCTGAATTTTTATCCTTTAAATTAGTTGACAAAGTATTGTTTACAACTGCCCTATGAAAGATCTTGGAGCTGATTTATACAAGAGATTTTTGTTCATGAAGACTCCCTGGCTGTTTGTGGGCAGGTATCTGTGTGGGCAATAGCTGATGGTAATACCATAATCACCATAGCTAGTAGACGTGTCACCACCACTGTGGGAATTGTAACATTTATCTATGTGAATGTGTGCTTGGAGACAATTAAGGCTGCTTTTACAGAGAAAGAATTTTGTGAACATAAATGCTACATAAACTTTAATTTGTAAGAGTTACTTAAAGGATGAGGTTGATTTTATTTTAAAATCTTTTTCTTTAGGGCTGCTCATTGGTTTCAGAAATACTATGGAAACTGCTTAGGAAACCATATTCTAATCTGAAGAATAGCTAGACATGGAAAATCTTCAGGCTTCAGAATGAATATGCTTAAATATGTGTATCTATGTGTTCAGTGTGTGTGAGTACAGTGTGTTCAGTGTGTGTGACAGACAGTTGTGTGTGTGCACATATATACTACACAAGATCTATCTCTGCAGATCTGTACACAATCCAGGGGGATGAAAATTCACATATCCCATTGTTTTCAGCTGGACAGATGTGCTCTTTTACTTGTTGGACCTTGTATCTGTAATTGTAAAGTTGGTTGTTGGAAGGCTAGCAGTACAGTTGGAAGAGCCATATTCTGCTAATCTTTATATAGTTTATTACATAACCATCAGCTTGAATCCTTTTAAGTGTGTTGCATTGGAACATTTTGTACATTTCTAATATTGTGTTTGATTTCTGGCTGGTGTACTTCTGTTAAAATATTGGAGGCTATTTTCTGACCTACGAAAACCAGAGGCTTACTTTGTAATGAAAGTTAGATTGGCTGTGAGCTCCTTGCCATCTGTTCATTATACATGTATTTTACTTCCACACAAATTATGATGCATCTGTGGAAAAATTGGACACAACTAGTTCAACAGTTGCTATCCGTGTTAAGTTTCCAGTACTATGTGTATAATCATGGTTGTTTGCAGAACCAAGATTTTACTTTGTTTTGAATGTGCCTATTAATAGTCCACTGTACTGTATGTTGAGCATTTAAGTCATTCCATGTGCAAATTGTTCTTTTAGTGGTAATTTTGTGTGTGATGTGGCAAAAGTGGTTGATTACAATGGACAAGGGCTTAGTATGTGCTTAATTGCCATGTAAGTTAATATGAGCAGCTTGAAAGGCAGTTTTAAAGTAAGGTTAGATACATGGAGTGGGAATGTTTAAAATGCAAGGGTACACTGACAGTCACTTTTAAATGCCTGTCAGCGTTCAGTGGTGTATTTGACTGTTTAAAGGTTCAAACAATTTGTAAAGAGGGTATAAGAAGAGAAGAAGAACTATATTTGACAATTTTGGGCCACATTTATCTATTGGTTCCCTTCTGTTTTTCTGAATCTACATAAACTTTACTAGTCCTTGTGGCATGCAATTTATTTTACTTTTATTTGTATTGTTTTCCTAAAGGGATTGTCATCATCAAGAGAGCCACTCTTTGCTGAGGCAGGGGTTCTATTCCAGCCAGGAACCTAGCCAAGAAAGGCCACAAAATTTATCGTCTAATTGGTTCCAGCCACCAATCCAAAGCCCATTTCCACCTTCTAAAACTCAGGACAATTGTGAAAGCGTCCCCATGAGTATCAGTAATCTCCCATCTGTGTCCTCTATGTACCAACCAAGTATGTTTAACTATGAGCGTCCAAAACACTTTATTCAGTCTCAAAATCCATACCAAGGGAAGCCACAGCCTCCAGGACCAGAAACCTCTGCTACTCTTCCAAGCAGGCCAATCAAGCAGTCTTCCATTCTAATCCAGCCTTGTAACCCTAATGAGAAGAAATTTTCTTCCTCTTCATCGCTGAGCTCGCCTATCTCGCTCTCCTCGCCTTCATGTAGCGCTTCATTTCCCGTAACACCCGCATCTGCGCAGTCTCCTGCTAGCTCATCATCTGGGCAGAGGATTTCATCCATGCATAACCAGTCCCCTGCAGCATTCCTTTGTTCCGTGTTGCCCTCTTCCCACTTTGATTGTAATAGCCAAGGCCCTTCCTCAGTGGACTCCAAGTAAGTATGTTCTTTCCCTTGCTTTGAATTGTGTGTGTACATATGGCTCTTGAAACCCTCGACATTGTTCATGCTATGTGCTCCATTCCAAGTATGTGGTACACAACGTAACTGTTGAGCACAGAGACAAACTGAGAGGGGAAAGCAAGAAAGGAAAGCTTGGGGTGCCCTTCCTTCTGCACAGTGCCCTTCCATTTAGCAAAGTCTGTTTGGCCTTTCAAATGCAAAGGGATGGGAGGTGTGTGGCCTGGGGCTTTCCAGTGCCTAATGTAAGGAGATGCAAGACCTGGCTGAAAAACAAAAATAGATGCAGAATGTCCGTCCTTCACATAACAGGTCCCAATTGCATGATATGTGAATGGTTTTCTCATCATCTTATTTTCACAGTTGGGCTGTTTTGTGGAGAAAGATGGAGCTGTTCAGTTGATAATAGCAAGAGTTATGTCTAATAAAGTGTCAGGGGGTTTTTAATGCAGTGGTGGGTAACCTTCAGCCTTCCAGTTGTTGTTAGACTCCAGTCTCCATCAGTCTTACCAGCCTGTCTATTTAGTCAGAAGTTATTAGTGCTCAAAGGATCATGGGAGTCATAGTCCAACATCTGGAAGAGTGCAGGTTCCCTAACCCCACTTTAATCTTAAGCCAAATATCCCTTGCATCTTTTGGGGGTGCAGGGGGTTCAAATCATACATTATGACTTTATCCTGTTTAAAAGAAAAGAGTTATAACTGCTATGGAGTGTGATTTATATTTCTATAGGCTTTAGTAGAACTATTTCGCAATTTGTCTGCAATTTGTCTGCAATGCAAACATACTAGGACAAACTCCATTTAATTCAGTGAGATTTACTTCTTTGAAAACATACTTACTGTTGTTTTAGTTTAATGATATAAGGATGTTTTGACAGAAAAATGTCCTACAACTCCCAGAATGCCCTGTGCTACCTGGGGAAATCTGGAAGTTGTAGGGCTATTTCTGTCCCACTATGCATACAATTGCACATTAAGACTCACTGTGTTCTGTGGGGTTTATGCCTTCTCACTAGGGAGTATCTAAGATTTCGGCCTTGGTAGTTCTTTCCCTTTGGCACCTCCTGCATCTGCTCTGTGCATCCAGACATTGAGCCACCGACTAGAACAGTTTCACTATTATGGGAACTTTGGGGAAATGCTGGTTGGAGTGTTGGATCGCAGACCCAGAAGGTCCAGGTTCTGTTCCCCACTTGGCCATGAAGCTTGCTGGACCTTGGGCCTATCACTCACTTTCAGCCTTGTGGTTAAGAGGATAAAGGAAGGGTGGAGGAGACCACGTAAGTGGAGTAAGCTGCCCTGAGTTCCTCATGCAGTGGGGGGAGCTGTGCAGTGATGGACACAATCCAGCTCTGAGGGGAGAATATTTGGGGAGTTCAGTGGAAGCAAGACGCTAATGTTTTTCAGTAGTATGTACTCTGAATATATCTTCTCTGACCTAAAGCAGCAGAATATACAATAGAGGTCTTGCAGAAGAAACGGGAAGAAGCATTTTCCCCACTTTAAAAAAATGAAATGTTTTTTGAAAGCCACCCAGAAACATTATCTAAATACACAGTATATATCCTGCTGTTTCCAGGATAAGAGACAGCTCCCTGGTATTTTGCACAGTGCAGAATGCTCATACTTTTCTGTCCCCCAAACCTTGTCCTACTGCAATGGTCCACATTCTACGAAACACCTAATGGGCACAAAGAACTAAAAGCTGAAGGAATGTTTCTTTAAAATAATAGGACTGAAGCACAGGTGATTAAGGAAGAAGTTTGTGCATAGCAATGCCATTGCTAAATCTGTTTAGAGAATTCATGTGTAAAGGGAAAACCGCATTCCTGAGGAAACCACAATAATACATTAAAGGAATCCAAGGTATTTTATGATGCCACTACTCTAGACCTCAACACCTCTTAAGCCAGGGAATCCTAATCCATCCCAAAGGCTACAACTGTAATCCTGAAACTTCTTACCAAGAGCTAAGTTCCATTGCAGTGGAACGCAAGTCAAAGTGTGTAGGAGTTGAGACGGGATTGTCAGTGAAAAGCCCCATAGTGGATTAATGTGGAAAACAGCACACAGATGCAGGAACAGATGCTTGGTGTCATCAATCCTGTTATTAAAAGTGGTAATCATCACAGTATACAATAGACATGCAATGATTACTGGTGGATTGCCAACAAGATATAAATTATACAAACAGTTTAAGGGCTTGGGGATTAATTTGGATGATTTAATCTTGAGTCTTCTTTCATAACATGAAAAAATTCTCTTGTATTTATGTGCTTAGAAACCTACAGCATCTCTAGGCAAAATATCTATTGTGAGCTCATGATTCATAACTCATAGTAGTTTGTATGTCCGTTACATGGCATCATCATACCTCAGTGCCAGTGCTTCTGCCATGCTTTCCACAACTTTATTTTTAGACTAAGGAAAGTGTAATATTATCTGGAAATGAGAGAATGCACCAGGAGAACCAGCTTGTGTATTTCTGCAATTCCACTGCACAGCATTGCCACCTTGTGGCCATGAAATAGTGCACAAAGAAACAGAAATGGTGAATCAGAAGAGGCCTTCTGGGCCATCTAGTCTGACCGCAGCTCACTTGTGACATGGAGGGCAGAGAAAGAATGCCCCCGCCCTGCTGCCACTGCTCAGGAAAATCAAGTGTAAAGGAACCAATTTGACTCCCACAAGAATCTGCAAGCAGAAGCACTTAGTAAAGTAGTGGGTTAAAAGCCTTATGCAGAAAATCTAAAATTCAGTCCTAACCTCCTGATGCAGTATTTCCATTGAGATAATATACTGTCTCCCTCTTCCTTTGTACTTTTTAACCTTAGTTGGGAGAGTACAACAGACAATCAGAATGCACCAAAAAGAATTCCAAGACCCAGTAATCTTTATTTCTTTTCTTGCACCTTAATTGCATGTCCTCTCATATGGCACTTTCCACAGGAACACAGTAAACCACACAGGGTAATATGAACGGTATTGATGGTGTTGTCCTTGCATATCAGTTGGCCAACAAAACAAACTTGGAATGGAGTTGTCTTCAGTACTATGCCTTACATCCAACTCCAAATAATGACCTGTTCCCACCCACCCCTTTTCCTTAAATTAGCAGTTACTCAAAGCCTATGTACAAGAAGCAAACCAGCAGCACCAAACAAGTGCAAAAGACTTCTGACAGAGAGATACAAGGAACAAAAGATGCTCTCATTCAAGACTTGGAAAGAAAGCTACGATGTAAAGATAACCTTCTTCATAATGGAAACCAAGTAAGAAGATGTCTATCGTACACAGAATGTTTCTGGCAGAGAGGAGCTATCAGGTTGATTGAGCTGAATGGCTCTGAGTGTGGCTTCCCTACAGTTTGATCTCCTTAAACCAATTTAATAAGCTAAGGCCCATTTATTGTGAATGCATATGAGAGTGAGAAGAGTTTGCAGTTGGATCATACATTTCTTCAAATGCCCCTCAAATTGTTCGATGCCAGTCAAGCACCTTCATTCTCCAAATTAATCCAGGAGTGCATTGAATACGGAGTGTGCCCATTCCAGAATCAAGATAATTCCACTGGCACGCTTGTCATCCAGAGCCATTGAGCTCTGGCAGTAGTGACTTCATGGGGATAAGGTGTCTCTTGAGCCACGAGAGCTTGCGTTTTCATCAACTGCACTTGTGGGTATAATCCTGTGATTTATGGTTGATGTCAGAATCTGGGGGCATAATCCATAAGCAAGGGTGTCAATGCAACCCTGTCAGACTATGCAATTAGAACAATTGGCTGCAAACAATACAGGGTGCCACTGAAAATTCCCCTCACATGCACACGTTCTCTTTTCCTTGGTGATGCCAAGTTCAGCTTACCTGTGTCCTGGCATTGTTGCCTTGCATTTCTTGGAGGCAGCCACCGATCGGGAAGGTTGAAGGAGAGGGGAGAAGGTGCATCTGATACTGGGACACTAGGTAGATTGAACCAGTCATTAAGAGTGAGAGAAAGGAACTCAGTGCAGGGCTGCAGCTTTCACTGGCAAGCCGCGTGTTCTTTGCACTAATTGTTCTACCTCATTTGTACATGAGGGGTGTTCACCCTGTTCACCTTGACCCTTTCAGTGGAGATGAAACTACAAAAGACAATACATTTTGAATTTGACCCTTTGTATCTTGAGGTTAGAGTGCTTGTATATACACATTCTCACTCCTACCTCATGTGTTGGTCCAGGCTGAACCTAGTTCAAATGAGTTAAGAACTACTCTTATGAAAGCTCATCTGTGAAATTAATTTGGCATTTCATTTGTGCATCGAGTAGCAATGACCAATGAGGAAAAGAGAATCATAGCTTTTTCCAAAGTGTGTGGTTGGATTGTGAAGCAAGATGTGTTTTGTGTATTAACAAGAAGTACTCCCTTAGACAGAAGCTCAAAGAGACATAGATGTGGCCAAACAGATTAACTTGTTTATTGAATTGGACGAAATGTAGTTTCAGTTTCAATCCCATACCTTCCATTTACTTAAGATTACAAGGAAGAAATAGCAATTATCTTAGTAAGTCAAATAATGGACTACTTCAAGGGCTGTTGAGCAGTACTTTGTGATGATGTAAGGTAGCTGGAAAGTTTATCCTTCTTTGGGAAAGAGAGACAGACATCCATGAGAAATCACACATGCATGCACACACAGGAACGAATGCAGGAGTACTATGTCCAAAATGATCTGGAAGCAGTGACTTGCTCTCTCCTTCCCTTAATGCATGGTGCCAGACTCTGCACATGAGATGCTCGTGCTATAAGCCATCACGCTGTGATATGTTGACCTGTATGCCCATATGGCTGCCCCTGTGGTATACCTTATTATAACTTAAATTGCTCCCTATTGGGTACAACTTGGTTTTACCTGCTATACAAGTACAACTGGTTTCTTTAAAAAGTGCCAGCTCCCTTGTTTCTAGCTTATGTGTGAGAGACTTCTGAGGGACAAGATGAACATGATCAAGCTTACAATGGTCTCCAGCTGCTATCACTCAGTCTGACAGACTTGGCCGCCAGCAAGTTCATATGGGCATGTGTTCCCTTATGGCTTTCCTTTAGTTCCACAGGGGCTCTTTTATTGGAACTGCCCTAGTGCGCATTACTGTTCCAGTTGTCTTAAATTTTGTCTGACCCTTACAGTGAAGGCAGATGTAACAAATGCCATGTTAGTGAAGGCAGAGGTACTGTTAGAATAGTGAGGCAAATTGAGAAACAGCCTCACTGTTCAAACACCTCCCCAAAATGTGAAAGAGTTGAATTGCAGCAAAAGCTAGCTGCTGTTACCTGTAGGATGACCAGAGCACTCCACCCTATATACTTTGAAGTACTCTTGCACAGCTAAACTTCTCTTTTTAAAGTAAACCACAAATGGATTAATAAATGCATGACTATTCACATGGCACTGTAAATATTGGACAGACCACTTGAAGTAGAGGAAGTGGCTGATGCAGAGGGCTGAGCAAGTGTGCAACTTCTCTGGCATGTATGTGTGTTTTCAGCTTTAGGGTACTTTCAGACAGGAGTCCTAGAAAGTATTTTCTAACTATTCAGTCTCTTTCTCCTTAGTGGACATTGCACAGTAAGAAAAAAGAGTGAAAAATGGTAGGAAAACATGGGAGTTCTTGGTTGGATCCCCCTAAAACTAAGTGAATCAGACAGGACCATGGTGAGATAAAAGCCTCATCTGGGAGCACCCTAAGGGTACTTCTGTCATCTTTCCCCCTCTTGGCTCTTTCAAAAAGCTTTTGCTTTAGTAGTTCCGCAGAAACCCAACAATAAAACTAGTGATTAAGCTATCACTTATGAGCCCTCTTCTACAAAAACAAGTGATCCCCATTTGAAAGTGTACTGTGGTGAGCTCTGTGATGCTGAAAGAGAATTAAAGCCCTAGTAAAAGAAGCAATGGCAGTCCCTGGTCTGTCTTAACTGATTTTTCTTTTCACTTTGGCCTCTGTTAAGCGTTTAAGCTACGAGGAGAGAATGGCTCGCAGGTTACTTGGACCAGAAAATGCTGCATCTGTGTTTGAACCTCAGAGTGAAGAAAATGCACAGGACACACATGTCAGTGGTTTGATTTTTTTTAATTGTCTATAAACAATCCAGAACACCTCTTGGGATTACCAAAAGGAACATATAGCTAGCTGGGAAGCAAGACTCTTTATGGATGTAAATTAGATATAAGAGAAGGTGCAGCAGTCTGAGTATCTATAGTTGCCATCCTTATAATGACATTAACATTTCAACTGCCTCTTATTAATACAGAACTGCGATGTATAATCAGTAGCATTGTTAGCATACCTACTTTGGACAAAATCCAGCAAGAAGCTTATTCCTCTGCCAATTCTCATGTTCCATTGATCCTGCTGTGCAAGCTGTGGGCTTCATTGCTGTGCTGAGTGGGACCCACTGCTTGCACAACAGAGATTCAGTGCTTATAAATATATAATTGATTAAATAAATATGTGAGCTCTGCTGACCTGCTCCATTTGAGAAATGAGCTGTTTTCACTCAATACTGGTTGCTGCCAAAGTTCTAGATATTTCTTCCACAAGCAGAGGGTGCTGCTTGTGGATGGGAATTGGCAGAGCATAAGGAAATGGTGGAAGCACTCCAATGCTTGTTGCAGTTTGCCTTTTGTTTCCAGAATGCGCACATATTAGTGTTCTCCAAGCTGTATTGGAGCTTCCTGATGTTCTGTTTCATGTGGCTGTTTCCACCAAGGAAGTGAAGTTCTTTTCTCTCATCATGAGGTGATTTCTCTCCTTCCCCAAGTCTTGTGACTCACACCTGTTTATAAAATAAAGCAAGCAGAGATAATATAAGGAAAATATTACAAAGCTAATTTTACTACTGTTTCATGCTTTTCAGGTTATGGGGGGGTGGGCAACAGAATGCTCACATAAATATGTATGGTCCACCTACGTATATTAATTATTCTCCTAGGACCAGATAAGTTCTTTTTCCATACAAGTAAATGGAACAATTGAATGTGTGACCACACTTCTCTGCATGGACAATAATGAAGCAGGGTTAGGGTTAAGGATATATGGCCCTACATAAGTAGTACTTGCTGCATCAAGGTATAGAAAACATGGGAAGGTCTTTAAATGACAAACCATTGATTGCTGGCTGTGGGGCAGTATGGAAGTTCACATCTGTAGCCATAAGTAAATACGAAACTGGTAATTACTGTTCTGGTGTGTGTTTTGCCTTAGAAGCTGTTGTCAGTGACCCATTCTTTTGTTAGGTTTGGAATTGCATAAAATAATTCTAGAAATGTGTGGGTTTTTTAAATGTATAAAATACTAATTAAAAAAAAACTCATCAAGGTTTAAGAAATTAGCACTCATATTAGTAGGTTGGTGTGCCCACACTTGTGTAAAATGTCTTCTAGACTATGAAACCAGTATTTTAAAATGTGATAAGCAGATGTGAAGAACTTGACACAGACATAGCACTGTGATGGATACAAAAATACCTAGAACTGCCAGTGCTGCATTTCCTATATTTAACTGTCCTCATTGCTAAAATGGTAGGAATACCATTGTGCCTGAATTATACCTTGTATTGAATTCAGTTACATCTGTTCTTCAGAATGTTAAAATGGATCTTTTAAGTGAGGGTATATAAAAAACCCCAGTTGTTTGGAAAGTCCATGTGATTTAGCTAAAGTTATTGGAAAACTTAGCTGGCTCCAGGGCTGTGATCTAACAAGGAAAGTATTTCAGCTTAAAATGTATTGATTGCCACTGGTACCCTTTTGTGAGCCTGCACAACACTTCTCTTGCCAATACTGTATTAAAGTGACTTGACTTCTATTTCTTGCTCCGCTGAAGGACACTGTGTCCCTAGCTCCCATTTCAGATATTCCAGTTGGCTAATTGTCCCCCTGCCCTCCTCTGACAAAGGCTACCTGATTGCCAAATGCTTCAAATCTGTGGAAGGAATGGTACCATTCCCTACAGCACATGAATCCTCAGGGAACTTCACACTGCTGATGATGGTGTATTAGAAGAAAACCAATGTTAATGATATGTTAATGTGTTTTGTTTGATTTGGGAATGGTTTTGGGATTTTAAAAAATGGAAAGCAGTATCTACATTTTCTGAAATAAGTAAGTTTTACTCTAGGTTGATCATTTTTATATTAAAACTGTTTTGATAAATTAACAAGTTTAAGCAATGGATGTTGAGCTCTTACTGTCATAAGATAAAGTAGTGAAAAGTTACTTCTTTTTGGCTTTCTCAGCAGCAGAACATGGAAAGCACACGGCTACAAGTTCCTACACCACAAGTAAGGTATGTGCTATGCACAACTTGAGCAGCAAGGAATCTTGCATGTAATTTGATGACATGAGACCTGATACAAACTGCAAAACACTGTGCTGCATTAGATCTAATGTATTCAGCTGAACCTTAAATAAATCCAGCAATAAAAGTTGTATTTAGTGAGGTGGCTGGGAAGATAGATATGCCCTCATCATTTAAGGCAGTGAGTAAAGTTGCATGTTCCGAAGTGAATACAAAAGGTGCTGGGTTCTGTGGAACTATTTAAAATGCATATTCAGCCTGATTGGAATTAAAAAATGGTAAGGGTTAAGTATTGGGTAAATGCCTTAAAGAAAAAGTTACGCATTGTCATGTGAAAAATGTACACGTTATCTCTCTTCAAAGTCATCCTGGATGATCTACTGCAATAGTGAAGGTACAAAAGTAGAAACACTTTTTCTTCCTCTAGGACAGGGTGTACTTGTATCCCTTCATATGTTTTTGTCTGCAGCACCCACCAGGCCTAGCCACTGGTGATGGATGATGGGAGTTGTAGGGCACAGGTTGCCCTCCCTTGTTGTAGGAACTGTCATCGGTGGACTACCATCAAAGTATATTGTTAGTGCACTTGAGTTGTGTGCAGGGTGAGGCAAGAAAGATTAGATTGGTTATATCCTTGCCTTGTCAATGGTGTGCTTGTAGGAGCAGACCATCTTCAAGAGGAGAGAGGAATGAGCAAGGGTCAATCCAGGAAAAGTTCTTTCAACCACGCTTCTTGCAAGTTCCTGAAGACGTAACAGTTGAAGAAGGGCGATTCTGCAGACTTGATTTCAAGGTAATAAATAATACATCATTCCACGCAGTTGCAACACAGTTGACATCGTAACTGTTCTGAATTGCTTTATGGGATCACAGTGAGTCCCAAACTAAACATTTGGTAAAGTGCACATGGCTTTCATGAATATTTATTTATTTTGGCCCTAAGGTCTATCAAAGCCACTCTAATTCTTTTGTGAACTTTGGCTCTGAGATGATCCCAAGTGCTCCCAAATGGAACTTGAAGATGATAGCAGCTCGCTTTTGTTTTTCCGAAGTATCTGACACTTAGAAAATCAGATTACGTCAAAGAGCCAGTGTGGTGTAGTGGTCAGGAGTGTGGGACAGGGTCTCAGGAGATCTGGGTTCAGCCATGTTACACATGGGGTGACTTTGGGCCAGTCACAGAAAACAGGGTTCATGTTGTGAGGGTAAAACTGAGGAGGAGGAGAAGAGTTATGTAAGCCTCCTTGAGCTTCTTGAAAGGAAAAAATGCCAGATATACATATAGTAAATAAAAATTCTGTAACATCCATACATCTGCCTACTCCCCCTTTAGAACCACCCATGCCATTAGCTATTACCATATCCCCCCACCGTCACTTAAAATGAACTCTGGATTATTTTTTAAAAAGCATGACAGTAAAATGTCTGGCATAATATGTCTTCTGTAGACTAGGTGGTTAGTGTAGTTCCAGTTTGTTGCTGTTAATAACCTCATGAAAAGGAGAACCTAGGTGGAATTCTATCAATGTTTTGTGTGTTTTCCCCCCTGGGTACTGACAGAAGCTGCTAATGAGCCAAAAGATCTGAAAGCTTTCACAGCCCAGTAAGCATTAAGCCAATAGAGCCAGCGATGTGACACAGACTTCCTTGCCCAGTCTGTTCAATCAGACATCATCCCATGTGCCCTAGTTTTATGGCATGCGATTTGGTTCACACGGCTAAGGTCACCTTATATCACTGTGTACTGTGCACACCTTTGTAGAACAGCCCCATTTGTGAGAACAGAAACCATTGCTTGTCTTAACTTTCTTCCTCCAAATGCTTTCTTTTTAAATTTATTTTAAGGCCTAGAAAACAGAATAGGCCAAAATTTAAACTCTAAAGCCATTACAACATGTCTGCATACATCATTCTTGAGTTGTATCACAAAATTAACTATCTACCAATGTTGTTTATGAACTTTACTCTGTTTGTTATGTTATAAAAGCAGATACATACCATACACTTACTGGTTGTAAAATGTGTAGTGATTCTTAATACATAGCAATTGTTGTGTACACTTATTAGAAAGCCATTATCTACCATGGTCCCCAAACACTGCAGTTTACATGGATGTAGGGCACAAATTCCTACAGAAAGTGCTTTGAGTAATTCATTTATATTTGGGTTGCATGTGCATGTGCCTTGCCACATTTATGCACAGCAATTTTGCAAAATACAAAAGAGATTTTCTCTAAGCCTCATTTAATATAAATAAGTTAACCAAAGTGATGCATACAAAATGATGGCTCATCTTGTAGATAGCCTTGAAGCATCTGGAGCAGAGGAAGGCTAGTGTCTCGTGCATGAACTGACTGTAAACCTAAATACAGGGTTACTCTTTCCATCGCAATACCACTTAAAGCAAGTGGTTGCAGGCATTGGTGCCAAGCTGATTCAGAACTCAGGTATGCAGCAATCTCCTTTTCTACATCCTGACATAATCAAACATACCTCAAAGCTGAGTAAATTAGTGGGACTCATGGGACTGGCTTCTATGCCACATTAGCTGTGGGAGATGAAAGTGTAAAGCATAAAATAGACAACTTGATGCCACTGCTTTTCTGATAATGCTACCCACACTAACTTCATGCTAGAGTGAGAAATGTGGGATTTAGACAGGAGAGACTAAGGTTCAAATCTTGACTGGCCACAAGCTCAATCCTTGGGCCAAACTCCCATCTCTTGACCCACCCCACCTGACAGAATTATCATGAAAAAAGAGGGAAGAGAAATAAGCCATCAAATCTTGCATGTGGACATTCCCTAGGACATAAACTGTAACACCATAATATGGTAACTGCCTCTTGAGTATCTGTTGCCTTTCCCCTTACAGGTCAGTGGGCTACCAACTCCAGATGTGGCATGGTTCTTAAATGGAAGACAAGTTCATCCAGATGACTTTCATAAAATGCTTGTATCTGAAAAAGGCTTCCATTCATTCATCTTTGAAGTTGTCCGGGTTTATGATGCAGGAACCTGGGAGTGTGTGGCTTTTAATCGTGCTGGAGAAGCTTCCTTTAGAGTAAAGCTAGATGTCATTGGTATGAAAGATCTTTGTCTACTTCAAAATTACACTTTTCTTCTTCAACTGATGTATTCTGTGTATTGTTGATTGGTGGGAGCTATCCATGAAGTAATTCTGTGTTTTGGGACATCCACCTTTACATGACAATGACAGGCAGAGAATAAGACTTAAATATCTTAATGTAATTTTCGAATGTCATCCAGGGTGGTGATAAGCCTTTGATTTCACTGAAGATAAGAAACCTCTTATTAGCCACAAGATGCATGTTGAATTCCTCCCCTGGAAAGTGTCGCTCTTTGTTCTAAACTTGTAAACAGCTCCAACTTGCAATATAAATCCATATGGATGAACCTGGTGACACTGAAGTAAATTACAAGCTTCATGTTAGCGTTCAGCTAGGTCACCTCCAGAGTTCAGAAAGCAGCTATGGAGCCAAGCTACCCATGAGTGCTACTCCTAAATATTGTCCAAGATATAGTTGTATTTGCTTTCACTTTTAGTTCTTCATGATTATACATGATTCTTTTCAGTTTTTTCCTTTCCTAAACAATGTAAACTTTTCTTTCCCCTCTTTTCCATTTCATTATAATCTCTAGCACGAGAACATCGGAAAGCCCCGGTTTTCATCTATAAACCACAAAGCACAAAAGTTTATGAGGGGGACTCTGCCAGGCTTGAATGCCAAGTGTCTGCTATCCCCCCACCACAGATCTACTGGAAAAGAAATAATGAAATGGTACAATTCAATACAGACAGAATCAGGTTGGTATCTCTCTGCTCTCAGCTTTCCAGAAATCTGGGTAGAATCAGTGTTGGTGAGTCTAGTTAAATTAGCCTTTCCCAACGTGGTATCCTCTAGATAGTTTGGATTTCAACTGCCATTATTCCCAGCCATCATGGCCAATAGGTAGGAATCCTGCAGCTGCATTCTAAAACATCTGGGTTAAAAGGTTGAAATACTTCTTTGATACTGTGTCTTTATTTGCATAAGAAAAAAGACTGATCTATAATAAGGTGACTTTTCATTTCTATTCTGCCTCCTCCTGAATAATCCAATCAGCATCTGAGGTCCTGTTCCAGATTCTGCTGCAATTAAAATTTGGGGGTAAATATAAATCAAGGTGGTCTTAATTGTGGCACTGAACTATGGCATACTCTTCCAAGCTTGCCACAACCCATGGTTACGTACCTTTTGCTAATTCATTAAAATGTGGCTTTTTAGGGAGTGTTTTGAAGAAGGTGATAGCTACTAGGTCCTTGCTCTCTGCTTTTACCAAGAATGGTTTCCTGTATTTTCTGTTGCTAATACTTTTGCTGGATTGATTGGTTGTTAGGAGTGCATTATTACTCTGCAAATAAAATCTTAATGTTTTACTGTAAGTTGCTTTGAGTTCTTTGTAAAGAAAACCAGGGTATCAAAATCTTATAATGCAGCTAAATAGCAAGAATTGTTATTGTACTAGAACACTCTCTTGTTCTATAAAAAGTGACTTTAGACTGCAGTATGGGATAACATGAGCTTGAAGAGATCTAAAATGAGATAGTGTTGATTCTGGAAAAAGTCCTCCATTCAATGCATCCCAGGACTTGGAAGCAGTGGGAAGGAATCCACACCATGAGGGTTTGCTTATGTGACCCGATACTGTCCAGTAGTGTCCTTGGGCACCAATCAATACCAGTCCAATAGAAGGTATTTGGCTCAGAAATGTCTGAGCCTGCTGGGGAAAAATATGGAGATGGTTTCTTCAAAACAGTAGTTGTGTCAGGTCAAGAAAATTTCATTTTCACCCCTCTCTTCCCCTTCCTAGTATGTTTCATGATACAGCTGGAAAGGTTTGCTTGCTGATCCACAATACAAATAAAAAAGATGCTGGTTGGTATACTGTGTCCGCTGTCAATGAAGCAGGAGTGGCAACATGTCATGCCAGACTGGATGTGGCTAGTAAGTAATACTGTATTTCTTTGATAAGTAAGAGTGCCAATTTGTTCATGCGTGTGACTTCCCTTAGCACTCCATGTAGTCACATCCTCAAGTATGTACCCATTCGGGGTAACTTATTTCCTCACTTGTGAATTAGCCGTTGCTTGCCGCCTTGTAAAATTAAATGAATGGCAATGCCTCCTCCTTCTGCATGTCTTCAGAAGTAGGTCTAGCATGATGGTTCCATTTCCTTAATGTGCAGTTAGGTGGACCCGACTCTATCGAAACCAGTGGGGTTATGGCAGGCCTACCTCTCCATAAGGTTGAACATGGGCAAGATAGGAGGCACTGATACACTCCTGAACATGCCTAGGTGGCATCGTTGCCCAAGCCCCTTCATGAATCTTATGCATACTCGGATGATCTTGCCTTTTGGTGCGGCAAACTCAAATGGGAGGAGCAGGGGGGTGGACTTCATCTGACTGCAGTTTTATTCTTCACCCCCTCCCAGGTTCTTTTTTAAACTACTCATTTTGTTTAACACTGTATTTCAGCTCACACATACAAGCCAATGCCAAACCCAAAGCCACTGAAAGTACGACCAACTTTTAGCAAATACTTGGCACTCAATGGTAAAGGTCTGAACGTGAAACAAGCTTTCTTACCTGATGAAGGAGAGTTTCAGCGTATGGCAGCACAGTCTGGACTCTATGAGAGTGATGAACTTTAACTGACAAGAATAGGGAAGAAAACTTCCATTGCTCCTGCAACAGACTTACAAAGAACACATAGATTCAGTTAAGTGGTGGTTGCACTGGTTAGCAAACATGCCTAATATATTTTTATTTATAATTTAACTTTTGCTCTTACTTCCTGCTGCTGTGGTTTTTATGGATGGTTGTGACTGTAGCAGAAGGAAATATCAATGTTTGTACTCCTAATGTTAAAGGACAAGAAATTAGGCTAATGGACGATCATGAAAGTACAGATGGCTTGAATGCATCTAGATTCAGTCACAAGGTTTTTATTTGTACCACTTTGTTAATATCAATCCCCATAATACTACAGTTTGTGCTGGCTGACTACTAAAACATAAACTTGAGTGTTTTTAATGAAAGTTTTATGTCCAATGCAAATAAAAGTTTTAAATATACGTTTTGCCATTTGTTTTATCTTTAGCACACAAGTGTGTGATAGGCATGCTTTTTTAATTATGTGAGCTTTGAATATTCTCTTTTCATTCAAGAAGTTCTCAATAGTGGCCTGAAAAGTTTTTAAACAAAGAAACAAGCATTCTGGTGTTTGGTTTTAAGTCAAATGAGTAATTTGTAATATTGGTATTTATAATCAAATGTTTATTAGAATCTTAAAACAGTAGTGGCAACTTGTAGGACAAACCATCTAGAGAGCTACAACTCCTGTGAGCTCTAGACAGCATAGCCAATGGTAAGGGATGATGGGACTTGTAGCACAAAACATCTGGAGGTCCATAAATTGTTCACTCCCTCTTTTAAAGAATCTTCAAACTATTGTTGCTTCATTTAAGGCTTCATGAAGCAGCCTTCTCAATTCTGCTACTATTATATTGTTAAGTGGTTTCTACTTGATTCGATGAATGTACCACAGAAGAGAAAATGTTGCCTTGAAGGGCTTAAATTCTAGTTTAAATCATTTATTGAGTGATTGATACTACATCTTCCAGCAATAAAGAGAACAAAACACTGTAAGGAAGCTGTTTCAGACTGTAATATAGAAGCAGAAATTTTGGGGAAGCTGAAAACTTCCTTAAACTGAAAATATTAATCCCAGTACATACTTAGAAACTTAATCAAGACAGGCCTGCAGAAAGAAAATAGAATTCAAAATATAAAGGGAAAATGGTCTTGTGGATAAGTTTGTAACTCACCCAGCACCATAATCATATTTATGAGTATTTTACTGGTCTCGCTGAATCTAAATGGCAGTTTATTTGCACATTTCAAGTCTAGGTGTCTGATGCAGTTATCAATCTGTAATGGTAATTTAAGAATTATATGTAAGATCACACTATATCTGCTCAGAAGTAAGTCCCACTGAGTTCAATAAGAGCTACTCAGGTAAGTGGTTATAGGATTGCACCCCAGGCCAGTTTCTAGACTAGACACAGTCGAACCTCTGCCAACAGCCCACATCCCAGCTGGATCCCACTGATAAGAGCCTCCGGAACTTACTCTCCCTTCTCCTCACCATTGCAACCTGCTTGATTACCTTGATGCTTCTTGAACTGGCCTAGAGAATGATGGTGGTGGTGCAGAGCAGCAGCAGCAGCAGCAGATGCCACTGCCAACTTGTCCATTAACTCTCCCAGTCAAGCAAGCAAGCAGTAGCAATAATAAGAGAAGCAGCAGCAACAATGGTAGTGAGAAGATTCTGGGTGAGGGGCAGCTGTGGGTGCCTTGCCCAAGGACCCTCCAGAACCTTGAACTTGTACCAACTGCAGTCCAAGCGGTTCAATACTACAAGTTCTCAGAACGCTTTATCTCATTTGGTGCAATGTGGCCTGGCTTGCAAGAAGTAAAGTTGCAATAGTTTAAAACAGTTTGTTCAAAATAGTCTCCTGTTCGTCCTTTCCATTTTATTCTCACAGCAACGTATGAAATAGGTTAAATGGCTGAGAGGCACTGGCTCAAAGTTACCCAATGAGTTTCATGGTCTAGAACGCAGATTTCCCAAATCCTAGCCTAACATTCTCACCACTGCACCACAGTGGCTCTTTGATTCTGAAACACGCAATTTCATTAACTTCACATTCAGGGTCAGCTCCAGGTTTTGGAGAGTCCTTGCGAAAGATACTCTAAGTGGGCCCACTCTCTCTGTCTACCTTCTTGCTGCTTTGTCACCAGTCACTATAGCTGCTCCATTCTCACCACTGCTGCCACTTTGCTCCTTTGCCAGGCAGAAATCCAGTGAGTAAGTAGGCAGTGGCATCTATTGCTTACCACCACCACCACTGTCCAACCAGAGGATAACAAGTGGGTGCAGTATGATGAGGCAGGGTCCAGGGGTCCCTTGTCAGTGAGCCCCTGCTGCACAGTGAACCGTCTGCAGGCAGAAACCCTCACTGCTAGCTGATGCTTCCCCTACTCATCCTCACAGAAGGAAAAATATTTAGTGAAAAGCAGTTTCTTTATTTTTTAAGGGAATTTCTTCTATGAAGTCATCTTAATCTTTACCATTTTCAGAGAACGTTTAGCAACACATATTTTGAAACCTTTCAAAGCAATGTGGCCCTTTCCACATGACTTTCCACCTGATTTTCAGTACCACTAACTGATTTCCTTGCAAATGGGTACTTTGGTGCCATTAGTTGCAATGGAATCTGCTAAATTAGCAGGTTTAGAACAAAGTCCCTATGTCTTGGAGTAAGCTACCACTGGCCACAGATCTGTGTAGCAAAACAATACTTCAAATGGCTATTAAACATTCAGAAAAGTTGTGTCTTCATTTCCATTTGGCCACTATATATAAACTCTCAATTTGTAATCCAAAATGACATGCGTATGTGTAAATCAAGGGTACACAATGTTTTCATCCCTGATGGCTGCATTCTGGCTCTGGGACTAAGGCACGCATGCCTGTACACACGCACGCACACACACAAGTTGGTTTTTTTTTAAAGAGTGGGGCACATATGAGGGGGGCTCGCATGTGAATTGGCCCACATCGACATCAGCACTGCTGCATTACTGCCAGTTCTTTTCCTTCAGAATCCCACTAACTTGAACTCCAGAAACCGAATGGAAAAAAGATCACAAAAGAAAACTGTACTGGCAGCAGTGCCCCTTTGTCATGACAGTATGGGGGACATGGTGGTTGCAGCTGGTAATGCTAATAGCAGCAGCCTAGCCCAACCAACCATAGTGTAGGGTCCTCAGCACAGCATACATAGGCATCGATGTACACACAGAGCCCTACCAGAGTTTCCCCCACTATTTAAGGGATCCCCAAATGAACAATCTACACAAATTGCAATGCAGACTGCTCTTTCCCCACCACTGCTAGCAGGAAATAATTAGCTGCATGAGGACATGGGGTGCGGGGACACATTTACCACCTTAGTGATCCATGTGGCCATAGGCCTTAGATTGTGGGCCCAGGGAGTAACTCATGTTTCTTCTCTATAAATTACACAGACAACAAATGGGGAAAAACAATGCATATACCATGCTGGCAAAAGCTATGATGGCTTATCCTCCCACAGATGCACATGTTTATGCTTTGGAAAGCCATTATAAAATATAAAATGTATGAAGCAGCCCTATCTGAAGGCTGGACCATAATTTTAACTGTTATTATTTGCAGGTATATTCTAATATATAGGTATGAGCCAAAATAAATTTCAACCACATCACACTATGCCAGACCCAAGTGGGTAAAGCAGCAGGCCTAGAAGAGGGAGATCCAAGCTCACATCTTTGCTCGCCAAACAACCTTGGGTCAGTTGGCCCTAATTTAGCTAACAAATTTATTGAGTTGGGATCCCCCCAAAAGTGCCACCTGAACTTGTTCGGAGAATGCAATGAGAAGAGAAAGTAGCCTTCATGTTCAGATACTTTCCAAATCCCAAAGAGAGTAACCAGATCCAAAGCAATCCAGACCTCCTGCAACCCTTTAACAGCAGGGTTAATTTAGCAGACAGGCAGTGCTCGCTAAAATTCCTACTTCTCCAGAACTCTGGAGAAAGTGACAAGTGTGTCTTCTGGACAGCAAGTCCCATTCAGCTTCTAGTAAAAGTGCTTAGAACCGGGCTGGAAAAGTACAAGGAAACGCGGCATCCAAGGCACCCGGTGGACTTCTTGCTCCTGCCCCTAAATCTTTTCAAGCTAACTTGCTCCAGCGTCCCTCTGGGTGAACGCGGCATAGCTGCGCTCCGGAGCGGAGCCGCCCCGAGCGCGACCCCGCGGCTTGTGCTGGCGAAGCGGCCTTCCCGGAGAGACCAGGCGAGACGCGCCGTCGCCACGTTCGGCGGGCCGGCGCAGGGCGTGCCGCGTCTCCCGCGTCCGCCCCCCTGCCCGCGGCGCGGCCGTTATTCGAAGCCGGCGGAGGGAAGCGCTGCCGCTGGGGTAGCCCATTCGCCAGCCCCCTCGCCGTACGTGGCCATGGCCTCGGCCAAGCCACTCACAGATACGTCCATGCTGGAGCGACGAGGCAGCCTCGGTGGGTATGGCTCCCTGGAGGGGCAGCCTCGATCTTAGCCTCGGCGCGCCGGCCGTTCTTGGGCCTCGCTCTGCAGCCCGGCAAGCCTGGCTCGGCAGCACTTTTCTGCACGACGGTCATCTTTCTGCTCAAGTCTTCCTTCTTATAGGTGCCGGCCGAGTTATCCTCCGGGGACGCTTTGAAGGCGAGGGATAAGGAGATGTTTCCCGAAGTAAAAACACCCCCCAGAATGCCATTAGCGCTGTTTAAAACGCGTAGCCACATCTGTATCCATCGTTTTGACATCACGATATATCATTTTGACATCTTTCCTGGAAGAAAATCGCGTTGGTGTCAATGTACCTTTATTCAGAATGGAATGTACTTGACACTCTATTTTGAAAGTGTACGTTTTATAGCTCATTGAATCTGCGACTGGCCATCAGTTCCCATGTAGCGCTGTAATTTTTTGAGGCTGGATTTCTGGCAAAAGCTACAGCAATACGTACATGCCCCTTACGGAGTATCACTGCTCCTCCAGTCTTTGATACGCAGAACGTTATGGATAAAAAAAGTACTTTGCAGGAGACCTTTAGGAAAGAAATACTTCTCTCCGCATTGCCTAGCAACACTGTCCTATACATATTTACCCAGAGATAAGCCTTATTATGTTCAATGAGAGCCACTCCCAAGGAAATGTACATAGTATTGTGCTGTAAATGAGAAAGACAAGGAAAGAAAAAGCAAGCGCAGCACAAGCTTGCTCCCATCATTGTTGTGACTACACTTCACAAAGAGTTCTTTGCAAGGTGCTCTGCATTGACCTGGTTTGCAAAATGAGTTGCAGTCCCCCAATTCTCAACTGGAAATTGTAATAACTCACATAAACCTGGATGACCTCATTCAGGCTACAGGACAATTCCTCAAGTGGGATTTGAATATTCAAAACACAGTCTTCACTTTTTACAGTGGGCTGCCCTATCATGCAAACCAGCCTATGGACACCTAGGTTTTGCAAGAGAACATAAGAAATCAGTAAGGGATCTTGTGGATTACACTAGGCTTTCCCAGCCTAGTTCCTCATTTCCCCAGGTTCCTAGCATCCCTGACCATTGACTGTACTACCTAGGGTTAGTGATAAATGAAGCTCAAAACATTGGGAGAACAGCAGGTTAATGAAAGGGTAGATTACACCAAGCTGCATTCTCTTTCCCACAGTAGTTGGCTAGATGCTTCCCTCAAAGTATGCAGCCAAGAATGCATTCACTCAACATCTGCTATTCAGAATTAGACTGCCATTGAAAATAAAGATGTCACCTATTTCACTACCATGATTGTACTCTGGTGAAGTCTTTTAAATGCTGTCCACATTAGCAGTTATTACATCTTCTGTCAGTGAACTCCATAACAACTGCTAGCAGCTAACTTGGTTGTATTCTGTGCAGTTAGAAACCAGTTAATAAGTGTTGGGTGTGCCTTTTTCTTTTCCCACAGTCCACAAATAACAGAGATTTTGTTTGCAAAACAAACTTATTATGCCTGATTGGGTCTGAGAATTTAGATCTTTTAGGATGCAATCCTTCAGGCAGAAAAGGTCCTCCAATTTTCAGAATAACTGGTTGAGGAATGCTGGGAGTTTTAGAGCTTTTTTCTCTTGAAACATGTATCATATTACACCATTAGTTAGTCTCTCATACTCCCTTTGTGTTCTTTTGAAAATCATACATTATAGGTAGTGTGAAACCTCGACTGACTCACAACAGAGAGCCAGAAATGAAAACTACCCTTCAGGAATTACTGATCTACATAATTTTCCTCACAGATCTATGTATATGTAAGTCCATCACCTTGAGAAAACAGATCAATGATCAGAATGATCAAGCGATACCATTGATCGCTTTCCTGCAATTTTCTGTGTATTACAAAGAAATAATTACATATGTTCAAGCTGCATTTAGAAAATCATGTTCACAAACAGTTATTAACTTAGGATATTCTGTTTATTGAGGTCAGTTTTCCTGGTTTGTTAAGTAGCAACCAAGCAGAGAGGAGTAAAATGAGAATGCATGAGCTTCATATACTAATTTATATGTATTTTGTTCTGTGCAAATGCAGCTGTGTATAGTGAGTATGTGTAAAAGTCAGAAATTTTATTTATTTATTTATTTAACATTTTTGTATCCTGCCCTTTACAATGTCTCAAAGCACTGATAAATAAGACACAGCATCACAATAATATATTAAATCAACAGTAAAAATGATACTAACTTTTAACATGCTGGGAAAATTAAAAGGCTGCCTGTCTACTCCCTGTGCACCAGAATGTCACCTTAAAATCTCTTCAACAACATATTTTGTGGTTGCTTTGAGGGTTCAGGGGAGGGAGTGGATTCCAACATCTCCCTTCCAAGTGCTTCTGGTCTTGGAGACTTTGACAAATTCTGTGGTCCCCTGGATTCTCTTTTCTGCTTTTCTGAGCATTTGAAAGGTATGCTGTGATTTTAGCCTAGCTTTCACACATGCAAAATTGCCTCTTTATCCACTATGGTTTAATGTGTGTTTTTATGAACATGAGGCTTCTTTGTGTAGCATTGCCTTACAAAATCTATATATTTTTTACATAGCAGAGGTGATAATTGCTTGTTTCTTCCCTCTGACATTTTGTTTGTCCTATTAAATGGTTCAGAAAGCATTTTAATTCTGGGGTCCCATTTATAAACATGGTACATGGGTTGACTAATCTGAATAATCTCATTTCATTTTGTTACATAGTATTTCTCCCTGATTTCTTCCTTTTTAGTGACTTTCGGAATGGTGAGCACAGATATGTATCACCTGAACAGAGTTATGTCAAACCTTTTCCTGGAAACCCCTTTGTCTGATAAAGATAAAACTGACTTCACATCCATGGCTAGCATTATTGACTTTTGGCAGGTATCTTATTTTGCACTTTTGCTATTTTAGGAAGGGCATTTATTTAAGATAGGTGCTTTATAGCTATGTAGAATTTGGTCAGTTTTATAAACCAGTCTTTCTTCATGTTTTATTGAGACATCTCATAAAAAGTGTGTGCCTTTGTTCAGGACCTTCCATTAATTCATATCCTTTATTTAGAAAGGTAACTCTCTTGAATTAGAGTGTTTCCAGCAACACTTCCATTGGCCATAGTCACCCTTTATTGCAAGAGGGCTAGAAGCAATGCAACATTGCTCCTCTTACTTGATTTCTTTGTGGCTTTTGATACCATTGACGATGGACTGCATACCCTCCTGGACTGCGGTTTGGAATGGGTATCAGTGTCATAGTTCCTCCCTATTGGGTCAGTCTCAGAAAGTGCTATTGGAGAAGTGGCTTCAGTTCCTGGCTCTTATACTGTTCTATCCCCACTACTACTTGACATTTCTAGGACCCTGTTGGGAGACTTCATTTGGAGATTTGGAACAAGTTGTTATCAGTGTACAGTTGACACTCAATTCTGTTGCTCTCTAAAGTCTGAATCAAGCTATGGCTGTGCAGGCTCTGGTCTGGCTTGACCACAATGCTGGTAAGGTCAAAGTGCTCTGGGTGGGTGGGATATGCATCCTGGAGATAGATTGATTCCTTGTGCTGGATGGAATCGCACTTTCTCTGAAGGAATGGGTACATAGTTTTGTGGTGCTTTTGGATTCTTCATTGTCACTGGAGACTCAGGTGGGTTGAGTGGCTTCTAGAGAAAGCTCTGGCTTGATTTGATCTAGGACCCATTTGATCATCTTTCTGTCAGTCCAGGGTATTTGCAAAACTCTACTCCAGCACCATGATTTGAAAGCATCAATTTTCTTCCTCTCACCTTTCTTCACTTTCCAGTTTTCACACCCATATATAGTGAACTGCTGGCTCTCACTCTGGTTTTATCCCAGCAATCTGCAACCTCTCTGGACCTGAGGGTACATTTAGGAATTTGAAAAATTGCTGTGGGTACTACCACAAAATGGCTCCCACAGAGGATGTGGCTATTCACATCATCACTGATGTGGAGCTCCTGCTTGTCAAAGGACAAGTAATTCACCCAAGCAACCGAGTACAAGAGAAGAAAGGATCTGAACCTGAAAGTCAATCCAAATATTTCACCTCACAGAAGCACAACAAAATACACATTTAAGATTGCAATCCTATATATGCTTACATGGAACCTAGTGGAAATTGCTTCTTATAATAAGAAGAAATATCCTTCCAATTTCTCCTCTGATGTCTCCCATAGTTGCATATTATGATAAGCATTTAGGGAGAAACAATTATTTTATAATATATGGAGATATGCTTGAACAAGGAGAAATCAAGCCTTGGCAAAAAATAAAAGATGAAGGAAAAGGGATAGAAAGGTTCCTTTACTACAAAATGATTTCAAGATTGAAAAGAGAAATTCAAACAGGAAAAGGCACTATAAGAGATCTGACAGAATTTGAAAAGTTTGATTACACAGCAAAAATAATTTGAAAAGTTTGATTACAGGGCTGGGAAAGAAGGTGAAATAGAGAAAATGAAAACAGATGAAAATGAGAGAAAGAGCAAGGCTAGAGGCTAGGAAAGGGGAGAAACAGTGAGGTGAAGAAGTATACGGGGGAAAGAGAAAAGTAAGGACTGTGAGGGAAAATAAAGCAAAAGGGTAAAGGGGAGAGAAAGTAGGCTGAGAAAGGCTGAGAAAGGGAGTGAAATAACAAGGGCAGGGGCTCTGAGCAGGACAAGGAGTAGAAAAATTTGTAGCACCATTGGAAGCTACATTGTGAACCCCCGTTTATACTGTAGTTTTAAATGTACATAATGGGTTTTTCATTCTATATCATGGGTCCTCAAACTATGGCCCGGGGGCCGGATCTGGTCCACCATGCCCATTTATCCGGCCTGCTATGCCCGTTCGGGCCTGGTATGTGTGCGTGGGCACCCACACCCACCTCGCCCTGCATGTGGGGAGGCAGCAGTTTGCTTGCTCAGAGAAAACAATCTCCAAGCAAGCAAGCTGCTGCCTCATGAGCCTACCTCACAATGTGTGCCCACCACCAACCGCGCCTCCCCTCCCCTTGCCGCACGTCCCACCCCCGCCTCAGCATGTGTCCTGCCTCAGCGCATGCGCCCACATGCACCGCCCCTGCACTGGCCCGCATACACCGCCGGCACCGGCTTTCCGGCACGCGCACCAATAGCACGTTTCAACTGGCCCCCTGGTGAAAAAGTTTGAGGACCCCTGTTCTATACTTTTCTCAGATATGTACTTTGTCTTCTTTTCTATTCCCAACTCTCCTCCATTGTTGAAAGTAGGATTTATTCCTCATATATCAGCATTTTATGCATCCTGAATCATCCTGGGATATCTACACATGAACATCTAATACCGTGCGAAAAAGGCACGAAAGTAGATATGTGGTTTCTGGAACACATTGCTTTATTGTCACCAGACTTTTTCAAACAACTCCTTAAAAATAAGGATAGTGTTGAAACCCCCAAATATCCAGCCTGGTTTCTGGAAGGGGCATAAGAAAAGGTTGGAGATACTTTGGAGTTCCAAGTCCAGAAAAGCAAGGCTTCAATGACTTGCTTACACAATTTTCACCTCACTGGCATTGCCATTTGCTGTTGGAACTAGAAAAGATAATCAGGTGTAAGCTCATTTTACTGGAGCCCAAGGTCAAGGTCATCCAAACTATTGTATTCCTAATCACACTGTCAAGAAGCAACAGTGAGAATTGGACACGGAACCACTGATTGGTTCAAAATTGAGAAAGGAGTTCGGCAAGGCTGTATACTGTCGCCCTGTCTATGTAACTTATATGCAAAGCACATCATGAGAAAGGCGGGGCTAGATGAATCACCAGTTGGAATTAAGATTGCCAGGAGAAATATCAACAACCTCAGATATGCAGATGATACCACTCTCACGGCAGAAAGTGAAGAGGAACTAAAGAGCCTCTTGATGCGGGTGAAGGAAGAGAGTGCAAAAGTTGGCTTGAAACTCAACATTAAGAAAACTAAGATCATGGCATCTGGTCCTATCACTTCCTGGCAGATAGATGGGGAGAGAATGGAGGTAGTGACAGATTTTATTTTCCTGGGCTCCAAGATCACCGCAGACGGGGACTGCAGCCAAGAAATTAAAAGACGCTTGCTCCTGGGGAGGAAAGCTATGGCAAATCTAGACAGCATACTAAAAAGCAGAGACATCACCCTGCCAACAAAAGTGCGTATAGTCAAGGCTATGGTTTTCCCAGTTGCAATGTATGGCTGTGAAAGCTGGACCATAAGGAAGGCTGAGTGCCAAAGGATTGAAGCCTTTGAATTGTGGGGCTGGAGGAGACTCCTGTGAGTCCCTTGGACCGCAAGGCAATCAAACCGGTCAGTCCTAGAGGAGATCAACCCTGACTGCTCTTTAGAAAGCCAGATCCTGAAGATGAAACTCAAATACTTTGGCCACCTAATGAGAAGGAAGGACTCCCTGGAGAAGAGTCTAATGCTGGGAACAATAGATGGCAAAAGAAGAAGGGGAAGGCAGAGGATGAGGTGGCTCAATGGAGTCACTGAGGCAGTTGGTGTGAGCTTAAGTGGACTCCAGGAGATGGTGGAGGACAGGAAGGCCTGGAGGAATGTTGTCCATGGGGTCGCGATGGGTCGGACACGACTTTGCGACTAACAACAACAACAACCTCACTGTAAAGGTGGACAGTGAAAGGTCCACCTGGGTGGACAGTGAAAAAAGCTGACAGGAAGAAAAATGATGCATTCAAAACATGGTTCTGAGCTTTATGAATACATTAGACCAACAGAAAGATGAACAAGTAGATCCTAGATCAAATCAAGCCAGAGCTTTCCCTAGAAGCAAAAAGGACAAAATTGAAGCTGTCATACTTTGGACACATCATGAGAAGGCAAGACTCCCTGGAGAAGACAGTCATGCTAGGGAAAGTCAAAGGCAGAAGATGAAAAGGAAGACCAAATATAAGATGGATTGAGTCTAAAAAGGGAGCCACAGCCTTGAACCTGGATGAACTGAATGGAACTGTCATGGGCAGGACATTTTGGAGGGCTTTCATTCATAGGGTTGCCATAAGTTGGAGACAACATGATGGGTTTAACTGTCCTGCTTACTCTGGCACAGCCACCATCTATTTCATAAAGTTTTTCCCCAATTACTTCATGTATGCTATCTAATCCTTACAGTAGTTCTGTAAAGTAAATCCTTGTGAGGAGGTGCTGCATGCAGCCAGCTGTCTATATAAGAAGAGGTTTGTTTGAAATTTATTCCTGCTGTGGGCAAAGCTGCCACATGATTATGTGCTTTTTGCCATCCTTCACATGAGTTCTGAAATGCTTAATCAGTGCTGAGATGAATGTGTCATCAACTGGTCTCTGAAGAAAGATGAGATTCCAGAAAAGTCATTGTTATACTTCTCAGCTTGGAATTTACTTCATATAACAAAAAGTTTTTGAACACAACCCAGTGGTATTTCTGCTCATGCAGAGATTCTGATTTATTTTGATTTATACTGAGTTCTGCATGCACAGTTTTTGTGCTGTTTTATATACATGGGGAATTTCCCTTAATTTTTTACAGAAACAAGAGGTAGCTGCATTTGTGGAACTTTAGATCATAGACAGTGATTTTAAGTCTGCAATTCTATGCTCAGTTTAGGGAGCAAATCCCAAATTATTCTGAGTAGACATATACAGGATTACTCCAAAGCGAGAATTCAGGATGCCATTAAAATAATTACTGTTGAAGGACATGATATTTCTTACTATGCCAGGTGAAATCTATTGATTTTGTTACAGTTGCTTAGGTAAGTTGGATGAACTAAAAAAAGATGAAACAAAAAAAGCAAAACATTTTACAAAACATTCCATCTGGTGGGTTTACAATTGTAACTATAGAATTTCAAACCATTTTAGATATCAAGTTAAAGAATTTCAAAAGGTGAATTTGTTTGGTCAAACAAAACCTTAATCTCTGCTTGTTTTGTGTGATATAGTTTCTGGAAGGACCACTTCTGGATGGCCTTTATTGGAACACATGGTACAGTGAAAATTCCACATCCATCCACAAAAACAGTAGCCATATCTACTATGAGAACTTACTGTTAGGAGTACCTCAAATTCGGCAACTCAAAATCCGTAACAACACATGTTCTATCTATCCATCTTTCCGGGCGTTTATGAAAGGGTGCTATGGTCAATACCACTATATTAATGAGGATAAAAAAAGTTTTGGCTTTATGAATGACACTGAGTAAGTATAGAGACATTTAACTGTTCTTGTTTAATCTGAATACATTTTAGACAAATTTTAGAAAACTAAGTTAACGCTGAGATTTGACATTCTTAGAAATTACTGGGAAATTCCATTATTTCATGTCTATTCTTTAAGTAATCAGAAGTCTGAAAAAGTGTCAGTGACTTCAAATAGTTGCATCTTACTAATTACATATTAACATCTATTTCTTCCATTTCACAGTGAGCCACTTACTGTTTGGCCAAGATATGTATGAGCGTAATGTTCATTCTGCCCCTTCCCACCTTGCTTTTCAGCACACTACAGTTGAAGATTCCCTGGGTTAATTAACCATGGCTTCCCATTATGTCTCAATCAGGAAACTATAGTTATTGAGATCAGAACAAGCAAGGATTTGAAGTCAGCTCAAATCCTTGTATTTTTTTTAATTAGAAAACAAATTATAATGGCGCATTTAGAAGATTTTACTGATGCATATTTGCTTTGGGTGTTTAACATTTTTCCTGAATTTCTCTTATTACAATATTTCCTTTCGGCATTGGCTTTCATGGGTATGGAAATAGAAAAAGGAAGTATACCTTTTAAAAACTTAAATCTATGATTTGTCTTCACGTGCAGAGGTAGGGCAGTAGGCTGTTACAGGCCATATGCATCCCCGTCCTGCCTTTCACTCTTTTCAGTAAAGTTGTGTGAGCTGATAAGAGAGCTATAGACAGACTTTCCATTCCACAGACAATTGTGGCACACTGCCTCTGCCACACTGCCTAAGAAGGATCCCAGTTGTTTTCCAAAGGCTGGGCTAAAGTAGTTGAGATGCCATTCATGCATTTTGCCAAAGGTGTTTTTCAAGGCATTAGCAGGAATGTAGGACTGATCTGGATTGGGACCCTAAAAGGAACTTAAGGGATTAGGAACTTTAACCCTTTGTCCCCTGCTGAAGTTCTAACCTAGACTGGGGAGGGGTCAAATTGCTATATGCAGCAGAAGAAAAGATTCCATTAGCACAAGTACTTATTTTCCTTCTAGTGCAAATAGCAGGTGTTCAGTGGATCAAATTCCACTACTTTTTTTAAGCCTTCATAAAGCTAAGAGCAACTGAATAAAACATGTGCATGGGAAAAGAGTGCTTTTATGAGCTGATATGTGCCATTCCTTTCTCTCCAACAGGTGGCACTATTCTACTTCTAAAGCATTCTCTCCATGGCATTGGGGCCTTATTGGGCTATACAGTAGTGGAGGATTTATGTTCACCTTGCCCAAGTCAAAAGAAAAAAGTTCAGAGAAGTTGGCTTATCTCAAGAGAAATAACTGGATCACCAGAGGAACAAGGGTTGTCTTCATCGACTTTTCCATGTATAATGCTAATGTAAACCTCTTCTGCATAGTCAGGCAAGTGCTTCCATTTGTTGCCCTAGAAATCCTATTTTCAATAGGAAGCTACTGGGATACTGGCCCTCTCAAGGCTTTTCTAAGGGATCTCCTTATCATAAAGCTCTATGAAAAGGGCACACCCAACTTTCCTGTAGGCATTGAAGTGGTTTATATATAATGACTGCCCAACAGTTTAGAAAAGCAATGTTGTGTATGACCTAGAGAGAGCAGCTTTCCACCTGCAGCGCAGCTACCTCAGCTGCTGTTACTCAACAACCTACAGTAGGCTCCTTCATAGGTTGTGGAGCATGACAACTGAACCCAGGCAACTGAGTGATTGAAAGACTAAACAATCTAATAGTTAAGACTTGATCTGTTGTTGGGTTTACTGTAGGGTTATTTAGCCCCTAAACAATTCTGCAACATAGCCCATGAAGGAGCTGTATGTGAGTTGTACACAACAACTCATCTCCTGCTTGTGCATAGCACCTGTGCATGTCTTCAGTGGTGTTGGCCCAAGACAAAGTACTTTCCTGATGAAAGGTCCAAGATGCTGCTCCCACCCCCTTTCCATATGCAGAAATTGATCAGGCTGGCCTATGAAACACTGGTGATAGGACAATATCCTCCACTGCACCCGAAGACAGTAGCTTAGGGGTTACAAAGCATGCTGTGTGGCAAACACTGCTGTGTTCTCCAGCACCTCTGTGCCCCAGCATCTGCTGTTAGAATCTTCTTCCTCTCTCTGCCTGATTGTAGGGCCAGCTGTGCCCTCTCCGAGTTTCAGATGCCTCTGATCATGCCTGTGCCACCCATTTCCATATCTCCTCCACTGGCTTTCTTCTCCTTAACATTATACTCCTGTGGATTAGACAGCATCCTTTACTTCCATTTCACAGGCTTGTAGTAGAATTTCCTGCAACAGGTGGTGTTATCCCTTCTTGGCAGTTCCACTCCGTAAAGCTTTTCAGATACGTCAAATATTATGATTATTTCCTGGCCTCTTGTGAAGTCATCTTCTGCCTCTTTATCTTCACTTTCATCATCCAAGAACTCATAAAAATGAAGAAGCTGAAAAAAGACTATTTTAGAGATGCCTGGAACTGGCTAGATATGTTATTGCTCATGGTATGTCTCTGCAATTAACATGTGACTAAAATAGACAAAGTGAATTATGACAGATATCATATTGGATGGAAAGCTGCACTGAGGTACTTGGGATAAAGGAACAATAATGCCATATGTGGTGATCAGAGAAGGGTTTTGAGTGTCATAATCCACACCTGGGGATTGAAAATTTGTTATGGGTGGTTTAAGGCAGATTTGGATAATGTCAGGCCCCGGGAACCAAATCTGGCTCTCAGATAGCCATAATCCCTTCACCTTTTTCCACACTGCCAATCATTTGGTGGGTTTCTGCTTTTTGTGCATTTCTTGTCCATTCTAACAGATTAAAATACCATCCCTTCCACTTGGTTCCTAGAAGTAAAAACTTAAAACTTCAGTATGCAGAAGTGGAGGGGGCACTTTTGCCCCTGAAATCATCCCTGAAATTAGATGTGACCCTAGACTGAAAGAGATTCTAAAAGAAATACAAGAACAATATTGAAATTTTAAAGTTGTGATGTGTATGCTGAAGTTGTATTCTGAAAATGAGGCCCACAACTGTAAAGTACAAGACAATCAAGGAGTGTGCTAATTGTGGCCTGCTAGCCATATGCAAATAGCATGGGCATACTGGCAATCAGAATAATACATATCCCTTTGGGGTGGGCAGCTTGTGTACCTCCAGAAACGTTTGTCTCTAACTCCTGCAATCCTTCACCATTGGCTATGCAAACTAGGCTCAATGGGAACTGTAGGTCAAAGCTGCTAAAGGGCTGCAAGTTGGCCACCAAAGCAAAGTGCTTAAACATGTTTGCATACTGTATAGTTGTCATTTAGTTTTGTTGTCTTTACGACACTGTGAAGTAGGATATTTTAGCATACAGTATAAACTTAGAGCAATTTTATTACTGGTTTAGTGTGACTTTCCCAATGGATCTGGACTGCAATAGCTGTTTTGAAAAATAAAAAGACTCGTCAAGCAGATTTTCTGCTTACATGCTGCTGTTTCAATACATGTGACTTGAAGACATGAATTAATCAGCTTATTTAAGAATATATCAAAAAAAATGTAGCCTCATGAACCTTTGCTTTTTTCTGTCCAGTTGTCTGTTTTTGCTATTTCCTTCAATGTTTACCGAACTGTTGAAGTGTCCAGCCTGATGGAAAATCTGCTCTCCGATTCAGATGCTTACCCAGACATTTATTTCCTTGCATTCTGGCAGACCCGTTACAATAATATGATTTCAGTTACTGTCTTCTTTGCATGGATAAAGGTAGTACTGCTCACATTACTCACTTTTCTTTTCATACCTGCCAGGGCAAACTTAACATAGAAAAATGCTTGTTACAGTCCTGATTTGAGAAGTAACTAAGGGGCATTTCAGTGGGTGTTTATTGATCTTTCCTTTTCCTGCCCACATTCATATCATAAAGAGGCCTGTATTTGTCAGGAAGAAGTTCCACAAATATGTCTTCTATAATCACTGGTGAAAGAGATCCACTATCATGTTCCTTCTCATCTTCCTGCTAGAAATACAGGAGATTCCTTAGTGTGTAGGAGTTGGAAATCCTATCCCAATTATTACATAGTGAACTGAACTAAATGTTGCATGGGACATAGAGTTTGTGGTGTCTTTTACTATTGATAAATGGAAATGCAAGGAAAGGGTGGAATGGAAGAATGGTGCTGGTAAAAGGGTGAGCTAACCATGTCCCATACATGCCATAGATTGTGAACCACATATGCCCCCCCACCCCCCACCCATTCGCCAAAAGACAGCAGGGAACACCAGTACTGGTTTTGGGTTTGGTTTGGTTTTTTTGCAAATAAGATGGAATCTCTTGGTGCTAACTGGGAGCTGGAGCTCATTTTGATCATGTAGGTTCATAGTAGAAGCTATGGGTGCCGGAGCAGCTGTCAGTGGCAACAAAGGGAAGACTGCTCACAATACTATTTTGCCATCAACAAATCAGTCTCCCTGTTTGAGCGAGGCAAGAGGGGTATGCTTGTCTTTCTGAGTGACTCACTCACTGCTTTCCTGGACCCATGATGGCATCAGTCACCCAGGTTCAGATGCCATCCTAATTTAATCTGTTTTGCTTTCTCCCAGATATTTAAATACATAAGCTTTAACAAGACCATGACTCAGCTGTCTTCAACTCTGTCCCGCTGTACTAAAGACATCATAGGATTCGCCATCATGTTCTTCATCATCTTCTTTGCATATGCACAGTTGGGTTACCTGGTCTTCGGGTCACAAGTGGATGAGTTTTCTGCTTTTCAGAACTGCATGTATGGAGTCTCCCAAACTGTCTAATATTACTATATTGCCAGTTCAAGCAACTTTTGCTCAAGGGAAGGACCAGAGGTGGTGAGGCATTTGATGATGGCATGTTGTGGGAGACCTGAACTGCCCGGGCTCTCTGTACCTCGTAAGCCTTGCCCAAAGCATATGGGTGGGGCAGACAGTGGCAACATATGAATGAGGGACAAGAGAGCAAAGCATGTTGCCCTGACGTGGTGAATAAAGTCTGCATTGTTCCCCCAAAGAGATGCCCCATATGTGCCCAGTCATTTTAAAGAGGCTTGCATGTGACACAATGATATGCACCAAAGTACTTTATCTGATACTAGTCATCTTATTATACTTACTACATTACGATTATTTAAGATATTATATCCACTTCACCACTTGTTTTCTCCTTTCCTATACCCCACGCTGTATCTCCTTATCACTGAAGCCCCTTCCAGTTCAGATCCCTTCCAAGCATAGGAAAGTACAAAGGCTGTGCATGTACGTTACTGGAATAGGGCACAAACTGGATCATGCCCTAAACTTTTTCAAAGTGTATCTCTGCCTTCTGATTTGCTGTTGCACTGCTTTAAATTATGTACTGAGACACAATGTAAATAGATTAAATATAGTTACATTGGAGTTTAAGTTAGGCCCAGTTTGAGCAGAAATAGGATTGGAAGAACAGAACAGATAACAGTAATCAATGACTGGTAAACAGGGCTACTGATTTCAATGAAGATTACTCTCCCAGGTCAGTATGTGTAATATTATAGCCTTAATACAAATAGTAGAGGAAATTGCACAATTGATTGTTTTTATATTTTTGCCTCTTCTCAAGTTTTACCCAGTTTCGCATTGTGCTTGGAGATTTTAACTTTGCCAGTATAGAACATGCAAATCGAATTCTTGGCCCAATTTACTTCATCACATTTGTATTCTTCGTATTCTTTGTCCTGCTGGTAAGTTCTGTTTGAGATAATTTAAATAAATTCCAAAATGTTAAAAAGTAATAGTAATTCATTCTTCTTAAATTTATGTTGGCTGTCTGAGGGGCTTAGAGTGTTAGATGCTTCCCATGTATTCAAGCATACTAAATGTTGTTTCAAAGTTGTAATACTTATAAGTCTTAGATGCTTACTTTGTTTGTAAGAACACATACAACTTATTCTTATGTGTATTGAAGCCACAATCCTTAGAGGACGAACAAGGACTGCCCTGTTCAGATAAGTGGAGGCAGATCTTCGTATAAAAACATGAAAGCAATACAGACGAGAATGGGAAAGATTTGTCACATTAGATGTCTCTTTACCCATTAGGGCATTCAGAAAACTCTAGATCAGGGCACCGAAGTTTTCAATTCAGTCTTGTTATGTTAACAGTGGAAAACATAAAGAGAACATGTTTGCAAAGGTTTCAAGGAGATAGGAATAATTTCACATGTAAATGTCCATGAATGAAGCCTTGTAAATGCTATAAGATAATGAAAGCATCTTTTTGAAAACCAAACATCAGTATTTTATAGAAGTAAAAGTACAAATGTGGGGCAAAAGTTCTGTACCCAATAAATAGCATTAAAAGCTACTACTACGATCCTGAATAAAAACTGTGTTTTAATTTTAAAAGCTAACAAAATTACAAGAAGTAGGAACACTGAACATGAACTGCTTACTTCTAGTAAAAACTTGAATGTTTAAAATGAATACCTCATAAAATGCAAATGCAGCAAGTAAACTAAGGACACAATCCAGAGTGCCTGTCCATAGCCCCCCAAACTTAGAGGTTTATGAGCATCCGGTGAAAGGCGAGCAAGCATGACCTGGGCATCCAATGAAACGGACAAAGATTACCTGTGCACTTCCCTTACCTCCAAAACAACCTTCTTAGTCTTGCTCCCAAGGAGGAGGGACTGAGGAATTGCCAGAATTCCTTGCTCTCCTCCTTCCTGCCTTGAGAGAACACCGCCCTCGCCCCCATGCCAATTCTGAAGCCACAATTATGACTTAGGTGCTGCAGCCAGAGCAGTGATCCTCCAAGTTCCAAGGGCTTTTTCCAGGCTCTGCACTCTCCTATGGCCAGCTTACCAAGCTGCTATTCTTTATACACCAACAGGTCCACTAGCTCTTTAATAAAGCCATAAACTCTCACCATAGAATGTGGATGCAAAAACCTAATCTTATTGTCCAGAAAATTAGTGGGTTTTGGGGTGCTTGATTAATGAAATAAATGAATAAGAATACTATCTGTCAGTGTCGTAGACTAAACCAGCTATTCTCATAATGCATAGGATATACAGGCCATCCTCAGGTTACAAATGCTTGGGTTACAGACAACCCTTACAAATGTGCAGAAGGCCATAAATCCTATTTATTTTATTATTATTTATTCAATATATGTGCTGCCCCACTAGCCATAGGTTCTCTGGGTAGCTTACAACATAAAACAATATAAAATGAAATATAGCACCTCTGTATGGATATCTCTATTAAAAAACTGTGAATATCCCTAGGAAACTATGTGACACGTTTAAGAACGTGTCATCAGTGACCTAGCAGTTCCTTAGAGATACAGTATTCACTACTTTTCATTCTGCAGCGTTGGCTTGACATACTACAAGCTACACATATTTTGGGGCACATGTAGGGTGAGTAGTTTCCCTTTGTTTTTCATTTAGCATTTGCCCTTGTAACAGGCTGTCAGCTGCTATAAGCCCATTTAGGATGAGGAAAAAATGGCAGTACAAACAACCCTTGATGACTCCGGTGGTAATTCCCCCTCTTTCCAGCAGTGCAAGCAAACCATGACTCTCCAGCACCAGGTCCATCTCCATCATCATCAGTTAATGTTAGGCTTAATGTTACCTCAAGAATGTTTTAAACTGTTTGAAGAACTATTTCTTTTGTTTTGTTTTTCTTTACAATACCGCTTACCTACAGTTATACACGCTATAGTGATCAGTCGCTCCATTGTCCTCACCTCCCCATGGTTCCCTGGGCTCCAGTCTCCACCCAGACACTTTCAGGTCCCCAATCTCAGACCAAACACTGAATTCAGCACATGACAATCCAAGATTTGGGGGTGGGGGGGCGGGACAAGGTTTTATTAAAAGGTTAAAACAATAGGGATAGTGGGTACTAAAACAGCTAAAACACACACAAGGGAGAATTACAACAAATAAGGAGGGGAAGGAAAGGGGATGTGGAGAGCAACAGCAACACAACAAATCAACAGTCCAAACTCCCAGAACCCCCAGCCTTATTGGCCTCCTCAGTCATAAAAATAACAAAGCTTCCCTCAGCTATCTAACTGCCCCAACACTATACTGATCGTAGCATCAAATACAAATTAGTACAGCGTTCAATGGCAAGGAGGGCGCCTCTCTTCAAAGAGACGCACACCCTTCTCTCAACACCCCTCTTTTATCTCCCTTACCTTGATCTGATGACTCATGGGGTGACGTCACCTGATGGATCCCAGCTAAGAATCATTTGCCCTTATTGCCACAATATCCTGTCCTATTCTGGGGAGTGCGAATACTCCTGTCCTTGGCTATGATTTACCACATCTCTCCCTTCTGTGTTCCCAACTTGCTCAGTCCTCCCATGGCCTTCAGAGCTAGAGTTTCTTGAAACAGCATCAGATTGTGTGTTCAACCAATTCACATTACACATGCACACACATAGATAATTCCCTCTCTTTGTACCAGTAGTTACTTTATTATTACTGTATGATTATCACTATTACAATGTTTCATTGTGTTAAGAGGTTTTCATGAATATGGAAATGTTTCATAAGTGTTTTACATGCATAGAAAGGTAAGAAATATGTACATATACTAAGGCAAAAATTTGGCTTACTCATGTGATCTGCCTTAAATACAAATTTGATTTAAGGATTTTCTCAGGAAGGGAATTTGTTCTTAACCAGGGGACTACCTGTATTCAAGTGGAAATATCAGATGCAGTCAGCACATGGGGACACTGCAAGAAGCCATCAACCAGTTACACATAGATTATTAAATTAATAGAAATAAGTGTTTGCCAATAGAAATAAGTGTTTGAGCAAGGCAGGTGTAGTTTTCTAACATAGATGTACTTTTTTCTTGTGTAATTCCTTCTTGCACATAAACAGTGTGTTTCATTACTGTACAGATCTTTTATATTGGCTGTTCTGCTTTTGAATACACTGGTTCAGATTAAATTACCCATGACACCCCTGGCAGTCAGTTCATTCTGTCAGCCAATAAAAATACTAAACTCTCTTTTGCACAGAACATGTTCCTGGCGATCATTAATGATACATACTCTGAAGTGAAAGCTGACTTTTCAGTTATCCCAAACAGAGAATTTGAGATCAGTGACCTTATTAGACAGGTAAACACCCAAGTCTTGTTCATGTAATTATTCTGAGCAGCAAAATAATAAATATTTTGAGTGCAATGAGTAGTTATTCACTATCTGCATATTCTTTTTCAGTATTTTTACTTTATGTTTATCTTATTTGAGAGCCAGTGAGGTATAGTGCTTAAGAGTACAGGAGATCTAGGTTCTAGCCCCCACTCGATCATGGAGCTAACTGGTTGACTTTGATCTAGTCAAAGACTCTCAGCCCAACCTACCTCACAGGGTTGTGGTTGTGAAAATAAAATTGAAGGGAGGAGGAAGAGAATTATGTGAGCCACCCTGAGTTCCATGAAAGGGAAAAGGGCAAGATAGAAATATAACAAATAAATAATTTAATTTATTAAGAAGATGCTCTTGAGTGGCAGCCCAGTAAATACCTCATATAGTTCAATTTACGTGAGAGATAATTCAGTTAGCTTCAATACATGTATGGATACATACACAATGACTTGGTTCATAATCCTAGTCCATGACTTCTTTAACCCATGGATTTTTAAATTCTGAGTTGTCATGATGTCAAATGTGGCTGTGCTAACAAATCATCAATTTGTTAATCACAAGTAACCAAAAAAGAGAACCCATGGTTTATTGTTGGGTTGTAAATTCTGGTTTGTTTTTAAACCATATGTTATTATTACATGTGAACCCAGAACTTTGTCAGTTCCTATCTGGGGAGTACTGTAGTACCCCAAAATCATTTGGATTAAGGAAGAAAGTGAGTAAAGGAGGAGGAAAACAAACAACCTACATATTTGGGGTGGGGGGATTTATATGTTTACCAGACAAACCCTGAGTAGGGCAATAAACCATGGATTAAATAAATCATGTTTACGACATTATGTGTGAAACTGGTCAGTGAAGGGGTTTTTGCCACTACATGGTTTGAGATGCATCTCACTACAGAATCCAAGGAGTCATTTTTCATTAGATGTTTCTGCACGGCATATCAATATGAATAGTTCATTGCAATAAAATCTACTTTACGGTGGAAATTCATTACTTGATTCCTATCTTGTCTCATGCTTACAGGCTACAACCTTTTCCATACCTATATTATAACAAAGTGGTGCATGTGTGTGACTTCTGAAGTCACAAATATCCTAAATACCTTTATTGCCCATGGTTTCTTTTTGACAACTTTGTTTTAAATCCTATCACTAACAATAGCCTATTCTGAGATGCAGACCACTGCAAATGGGGGGGGGGGGGAACTAAGACACATGCATTTTCATAGTGGATGAATGTGCAAACCTACCTTTAGTGAGCCACACATCTGTGGCTATACTGAAGATCTCATGTGCATTTTAATTGTTGATTATTTTAATTAGAATTTAATTTTAATTATATCTCAATGTAAATTTTAGTTATTTTGAGATAGTGCCAATCTGTTGTTAAACTATTATTTGGTGCTCCTGTTATGTTATGTTGTGTTGTGATGCGATGTTATGTTATGTTAATGTATGTTCTTATGTTATTTATTATTGATTTTTCTGGTTTTAATTGTTTAAACTGCATGTATTTTGGGATGTTTTATGTTGTTGGTTTTTATTATATAAACTGTCTGGAGGGCCATGTGGCTATGAGACGGCATACAAACGTGTTAAATAAATAATAAATAACTGTGGCATTTAGCTATTAAAGATCTTTGTTTCAAGCCACTGAGTTTGATCAGTCCCAGGAGTGGCTGTCACCAGTTGTCCATTTACCATGCTGATATATAGCAACTGAAATTTTAAAAATACAAGGTTTTCCTGCTCTGTATTTGTGAAGAAGCTTTGCTGTCCATTCAAAATTCATTAATCCTAAAATAACTCAAGAGATGAGGAAGGGATATAATTGCTGGATGTTACATGTCCTCCAACTCAAGGCAGGACTGCCCAATTTAGCATCTTCCATTCTTTTTGCCTAGCACACACATTAAAATAAATCTCCAGCTTCACCGGTATAAAGACACTGAGCGGTAAGCTATTGTGCCCATGCCTAATGGAACCAAGTGGTTGCTCAACAAAGTTAATGGCTCCAAAAAGAACCCAAAATGAGAAGAGATGCTCATTTCTGAAATGGGCCAGATCAGCAGTACTCACAGAAGGGAGCTCCACTGGCATGCCCCACTCTGGGAAAAATAGGATTTCTAGGGTTATGTTTTAGGCCACATGCTCTTCATTCTGCAAGGCTCCATCCCTGCTGGCACAACATAATCAGTGGGTGTACAACAGCCCAGCTGGATGCTGCCCAGAGGCTGGACCGATATTCAAGGACATGCAGATAGGTAGGCCAAAGTATTTCCTTTTGTTTCTGGGGTTACTTTCAGAACTGCAAATTCCTTGTTGTGCAAGCAGTTGGTCCTGCTGGTGCAACACTATTAAGCTGAAGCTGACCTCCCTGCTCCATCCTTCCTTTAAAATATTGAACAGAGGTTGAAGGACCTTGCGAAATAGGGGTGACTGAGATGCACATGCGGAAGGAGAAATCATTGCAATCAGTGAGGAACCTTCTCTCCGCAGTAGGCAGATCCCGGATCTCCTACTGTACTTCTTGTTACTTTGGTTCTTTGCTGCACCAGAGACCTCGGAATTCCTGTCTGTGTGGGAGACAGATCAAAGTAATGGCTATATTGTAATATTTTCAGTATACAGAGCCATTATTGCTTCTTGTCCCAGTAGTCTTTAGTGCATGCTAAATTTGTCCAAGATGATGCCCAGAGTCCCCCCACACCCAGTTTTAATATCAAACCTGAAAAATCATTTTCAGAACCTGGACATTAGACGACTATTTTGTGACACTCTAGTAGGTCATGTTGTGTTAGTTTTGAGATTTTCTCTTAATAGCACTATTTTACATTGTTTTAGAGTTACAATAAAGCTCTAGTCAAACTCAGGCTAAAGAGGCAGACGTCACAAACAGAAGATTTGTATGGTATAAAAAGGTAGGAAATCTTCAGTCATGCTGCTGCTTTCTGCTCATTTAATTTCCATGCACGTGCTAATAATGGAGCTGCTTTTTCCCATTTAGACAGCCTTCAAAAGTGCAACCTTCTAGCCAGATATTTTTACAGGATTGGATACAGATAGTTGTACAATGTATGGTATGGTGGTGTCTGTGGCACATCTTCTGATCAGTCTCTCATTATTCCTACTGAACCCTATAGTTACCGGGTTTCTCAGAGAAAGGTTTTCACCTTGCTAAAGAAGATGCCCTTTCAGCAGCTCATCTGGAGACAGGACTTGCAGGTTCCTCATTATTCCCATTGTTCAGACCCACTTAGCCCAATTCTAGTCATTGTGATGAATAAAGAAAAGGATTTATTTGGGAGAAAAAAGGACCAGTTGCAATGATGTAAGTTCTGGTTCATATCTGGGCAAGAGAATCAAAAGTCCAGAAATGTCCATGAATATTATCATGAAACAGTGTATAACAAAAAAGAAGGGAAATGCAAGCAATGCTTCTCCTGTTGAGATTCACACATTCTCATACCTGTTGGAGATGCCTGGTGAATGGGCACAGTACCATTGAGATATGCCCAATGTGAATTATGCACAATGATGGGCAAACTTACCCCAAGCAAATTCATTATTTACTCTGTAAACAATAGATACATTCCCTCAGAGCAAACTTATCCCTGTGTA